TCGAGGTAGGTCGAGGTAGGTCGAGGTAGGTCGAGGTAGGTCGAGGTCGAGGTTTTTGGGGGGGGTCGCGGATGTGTCCTTGTCCGAAGTCCTGTGGACTGTTGATGAAGCACATCCCCTCCCTACTAGAATGCTTGTCACAACTTGTCATATACACCTCCATTTGGGTCTTTTGAAGGAACCCTAAGGGGACTGTCCTTGTGGTTGGCCGGAAGTTCGTGAATATGTCCCAAACATGAACAGAAGCACCTACCATTTTTGCTTGATGAGCCGTCAGACATGCATCGTCAGATCTGATAGATGTCGCCGATGTCCGACTCCATTCCTCCATCCGCACGTCTTGATCCCATGGCCCATGGCCCTGGTCAGGTTTCTCAGGGTTTGGATGTGCACACCACCGTGGCGGAGACTTATCTCTCAGTTTCGACCCACCAGCTCACCACACCAGAATCGGACCGGTCCAACCAGCGATCGCACGGTGAACGCGCGCGCGCGCGCGCGCGGCAGAGTGAAGAAAGGTTCGCCACCTCTGTGGTGAGCTCGGGTCCTAATAGAATGATGACATCTAGTAGCTTCTTGTTACTAGTAGCGATGGCCTCCAATCTAATAGCGATGGCCTCCACTGGCCTCCACCTAGTAGATCTTAGTAGCTTCTTGTTCCTAGACGGAGAGCAGAATGATGTGGCATGCGCAATCCTTGAATCTGTGCAGACCTCCCGATATGGGTCTCCATCGTTAAAGATGGAAAATGGGCGGACGAGACGTGTTGTGGTTTGAGTCTCTTCAGCAACATCAGGATTCTCATTCTTCGATGATTGATACAGTAGTTCCCAAGACATTGGTCTCTGCCAGCGGCTTCCAAGGGGTCATCAATCGACAACCCTACACTGCTTATATATATATATATATATAGAGGTCTCCAATGGACACCCGTCGGATGCGCTAGGTGTATGATCATCTCTCTTTGCCACAATGCAGAGAGCTTAAGGGCGTATGTGTTTCACCATGTCCTTGAGACCTGTCGACGCGGCACATATCGGTCTCAACCAGGAGGCCGCCAAAAATCACACCTCTGGGCGTGCCTTTTCAGGTAGGGTCCTTCTACTTCAAGGGATGCTGTCGCTACTTGGGGTCGGAGAGACTCCATGAGGAGATCACCCAAAGCCTTGTAAACCGAGCAGCACTGGATCGTTAGCGCAGCGCTCAAGCTTCCGGAGCTGTTCAAGGGCCTCACTGAAGATCAATTGGACTCTTTCAGTTGGAAGTTGCAACAACGGATGACAACTTCTTCACCAATGGTGATGTGTCCACGGTTTTGCGAAATGTCTTTTGCACCAATCCTGTTTCAAGCTCCGTCATGTCAACGGAAGTCAGCAGCCCGCACCTTCACCGCCCACAGCTCACCTTTGTCAGCTGCTTCTCGGACCTCTTCAAGGCTCAAAGGAATCTGCCATCCTACGCGGGAGCACCACGATACCGACCGCGCGGCCGACCTCGACCAGTCCGAGGCACTGTCCGCATCGACGTGCGGGTTGGGAGCTGCTGGAGCTTTTCGAGCCACTTTGGGTTTCGACCAAAACGAGTTCTCGTTCTCCTTGGGATGGGCTTGGTTTTGGGAGACCCAAGGACCGGCCGGAGAACAAGGACCGTTTTGTGTGAAACATCCTAAAAATCATGTTAAACCCAATGAGACCCGGTCCTTGACCTGGGGACACAACCCATCCTCTCTCCATGTAGGGCCCAGGGGCGGCGCCCACATGTCCGACTTCCGCACCTTTGCTTGATGGGCCTGATGCTTTTGGGGGGTGAAGACAAAGAAAACATCCAAACCTGGTTGGTAATTTCAACTCACTGGAAAGATATGAGTCAGTGGGTTCAATCATCCCAAGTAAAGGTTGAACATCAAGTTCTCTGAAAAACACCACCCAGAAATTCTGACTCAAGAGACACGGTTCCGGTTCCTGTAGATCTCCTCGAATCCTCCTTTCGTCGTTTCCCCCTGATGTGTTCCAAACCGCCGAAATCAGCGGTGGGGCGTTGAAGCCCCGAACCAGGAAGATGGCCCCGGCGGTTGGCCGCGAACGCCGCCCCGAACGCCCATCGTGTTCCTTGGCAAACAACTGTGACCAAGCAGTACTGAGTTTACTGTGCTGGACTTTCCGTCACGTTAAGGCGGAGCTTCAACAGGAGACGTGTGAAGAGAGACGAATCCTTTGAGGAGACGAATCCCGGCTCAGTTGAGATGCTCGGATTCCCGGGTACCACTCCCCTCGCCTTCCTTGCACATGGCGGCATGCAGGGGCACGCTGCTCAGCCAAGTGCCAGCTCAGGGATACAATATGGGTCAAGTCTCAGTTGAAATCGTAGAAACATGGCCACCCTCCAAAGAGCTAGCATAGAAACTGGTAGAAAAAACACCTGGTGAAGGACAATCATGATCCCCGCTGCTTACATGTTTGTTAAGCAAGGGTGCGGTATGGCTCAAGAATAGGATGCCACCAAAACCGGTCAAGGTGCCAAAAGAAAAGAATCTGCTGATTCCCTTTCCCGCCAGGCATTTGCTCCTGTGCCATAGCAAAATGGACAGGTGGCTAAAACATGAGATGAGATGGGTGTTGTCTTTTAATTAGACCCCTCATGTCACAACAGATGCGTGGGCGTGGCATTCTGACACATCAAATCCTTTAACTTCTGGCCATCTGCTTCGCACTGACAGACCTGTCGACTCTCATGCGCAAAGCACATGAAAACATGTGCAAAGCACACGATAGCTCGGCTCATGGCTTTTTCAACGTCTACAGATATCCAACGTACTGCCCCGTTGTCCCAGATTTTCACTGGGGGGCCTTTGGGGGCAAACGTACGCTGCGACTCATGCGATTTCCAGACCTCGATTGGGACGTCAGAATGGTACAACGATCTTGACTGGGAGTCCATGTCCATCAGTTCGAGGTCGGGCCTGACTAATCTCCGAAAAAGATCCGTTGTGCACATTCAACCGTTCTTCAGTTGCTAATGAAGGTGGCGAAAAGATGGAGGTATAGCCTGGCGCGACCGGGAAGCGTGAGTGCTAAAAAGAAACTTAAACTGTCACTTGAAGGTTCTTGGAGTGTTTACTCTCGGCGTCTCTCGGCCACTTAGAAAGAGGCCACACCATCTTTGTGGCGCAACAAAAACTTCAGTGGGTGTGCTGATGCACCATTCACCAAAAAATAGAACGTGGGCGCATTCCAGTGGTGTGTGTGCTGGGCGTTATCTGCTTGCCCACCGGACAGACCGCTCCAGCGGTCAACTCCCGGCGCTCGAAGACCGACTGGAAGGGCGCCGTTCGTTCCGTTTGGGATGCGCGGTTCGGAAAAGCCTGCGCCCCTTTTTTCGAGCCGAGCCGAGCTTTCGAACACCTCGGCTCCAAAAGGAGCTCCTCCTTTCTGGGCGAACGCACGACCAGAACGGCGAGTTGGGCATAAGCATGCTGGGCAGACGGCTTTTCAGAATGTAGATTTAGCTTCTTCTTCCTCGGAAGATGCATCATTCACAATCATGTACCTAGCACTTCCAACGGGTGCCCAATGGAGACCTGTAAGTAGGGTAGGCTAGTCTATTGGACACCCATTGGATGATCCCGGTATATATATATATATATCAGCGAAAAAATATAGGGGAGACTTCCCATCTAGGGGAGACTTCGCAGAAGACGCGCTGGGACCTCGTGTACGGCTTTCAGGCACAAAAAAACAAGACCATAAGACCTCATTGCTTCGGAAGGGCCGACACCCATGTTGGCACCTCTGCCACTGTCAGCGTCGATGTTCGAGGAATAAAAAGAGAGGGAGAGGAATCGAAAAAAAGGGTGGTCGATAATCGATCATCATTCGGAACCGGTGGAACTGGTGTGGAAGGGAAAGGTTTAGTAACTGTTCCACACCCGGGTTCGGGATGGCGGCTTCGGTCCAAGGAACGGCTGCACAATCCCACCGAAACGAACTGACGAGTGGGACCAAGAGCGGTTGAGAGAGCAGAACTAGGACCCTGGTCTGTGGTACATATGGGATGCGCGAAAAAGGGGCTCAACCTGTCTTGGCAGGGATGAAAGTGATAGGAGGGTTTGCAAACCGAAAGCAAACCGACTGCAAATGCACCGTTTCCACGCAGAAAGGTCAGTGTCCTATTCCAAGGCTCTTCAGATCAGTGGGCTTATGGTAGATTTCCAGGACAACTTCCTGAATCAGCAAGACCGACGAGACTGGCATCTGTTCCATGTTCGGCAATCAATGGCTTGAAACGAGGAAAACCCTCCAAGAGTGGGAACCTGCACCAGCTACCTCTGGAAGACACTTGATGCATCCATCCCAGTACGGTTGGCGTCTGAAAGCGCCATGAAACGGTGCGTTTTTTTCAAAAAAAACCGCTCCTCATCTCGCTTCAGCTCAGCGAGCTCCATGAAACACCAGCACCTACAAGCTGCGGACACAGGGACCACGGGGACTGCAACAGGCACTGCGGGGACTCTGGCTGCCAGGGCTATCCAGCAGGGCGAAGACTCGCCCGTCTTCGCCCGCGCGTCGTACTTACCGCGGCGGCGGCCGCGTGTGTCGCCTCGTGGAGATTTTCTTCTTCTTGGGCTTGTAGTGTTTGAACTCAAAGAATATTGCTGCACCCCTGCAGCGGCGCATCCGTTCTCCAGGTACTCTCGCAAAGCTGATTCTATTTGTCTAGATTGTATAAGACATATAGAACTTACAAAACTGGGACACCTGCACAAAACCCACATCCTCTGCAAAACCAATCCAGCACAAGACATTGCTTCGGAAAAGAAGATGAAGACATATTGGTGCGTAGCCCGAATAGGCTCCTACCCTGCGCCAATGGGTTCTAGTCAATTTGGGGTCCAACTGGATGTCTCCCTATTCTGATACACGCCCATGTAATCATAACACAGCCCAGTCGGTTGATGAAAGAAAGACACACGGCAAGCACCGCTGGGTATTCGGTGCTTTGAGCATCATCGTCACAAGTGGTGCAGGATGTTTTCCATGAACCATACTTCTCGGACAGTTCTAGCTATCCTGGCAGGGAAAGAAGCCCAGCACTCCAAGATCAGGCTTTTGCACATCTACATCATGCGTCATGCATGATTGACTTCGGCTCCCCATGATTCTACCACCGGCTCAAGCCAAATCACCAAATAGTGGCTTCCGGCAATAACCCCACAAAGAAAGGGGACCCTGAGATCCTCTTCGAGTCGTCACTGGTCAGCTATTGGAGCAAACAACTCGGAGAGTGCGAGGGGACATCTTCTAGTTCCGTGATAGTCTGAGGGATGGTATCTGGAAGCATCCGCTAAAGACACTGAACAAGACGCTGACCGTTTTTGTTTTCCACGTCCGTGTCCCACCAACCGTGTTGGGCCCGGTGCGATCTCTCCATGTCCTCCAGGGAGACATTCAAGTAGACCTGCCATGAATCAATGGCAGTCCTGTTGAGACTGGTTCGATCTGGTTATTCTTGAGATGATCAACCCATCAAACCCCATCAAACCCGGATGATCGTTCTGGGTGTTCTTGACTGTCACCCCCCACTTGGCCCGGGTGACGCAGGCAGCTCGGCAGCTCCGCCCGCGGGCCTGTTGGTTGAACATCACATGCGTCGCTCGTCGCTCACATGCGAAGTTCCTGAGTGGTGCCAGGGAGGTGTTCGCTATGGGAGTCGCATAGATGAATGTCGTATAGCTCTGAAGACTAGTTATGAGTCATGGGGTGTTATTCCTCCACATGTATACCTCCAAGAATCTATCGCGGAATCGTCTGGAGCAGGGGCACTGTTCTCAGGCGACAAAACTTGGCGCAACTCTGGACATTAATTTAAAAACAAAAATAAAACAAGTACCACGCCCGCATACGCCTGCCACTTCTGGTGGACTTGGACTTCATCCAACTGGGCACCCCACGTATCTCTTGAATCCAAGATATTGGCGCGCGAATCCGCCACCAGGACGGTCATGAAAGGATCTATGTAGTCCTTGCAGGTCATCCACATTCCCCTCGCCCGTGGCATCAGTAACTGGGCATCAGATGAAACCATGGTGGTCTTACCCAAGCAGGTGAGGAGCTCAGAACTAAGCTGTCCATGGTGCTCCGTCATCCCAGGCCGCCCAGCCTGCGCGTCTTTCAGACCTATCTTTTCGATCCGAAAGCACCTCGGTCCGCGGCGCGGCTGCAAGAAGCCGCGCGCGCACCACGTGGCGTGTTTTCTGCTCTCGTGATGTGGACGTTGGGACTGTTTCGGTTCTCTGCTGATCTATACCTTCTGCATACCTTCTGGGCTACAGCATCATACAGCATCAAGGCTGTTGCATGGTTTTTCCTGGAAATCCAACAGCCTTGCTGTCCTCTTATCATCTGTTTCTAGCTCTGCTCCTAGCATTCGGCCTTGGACATCGTCCGCATGACCAAGGCCGACCATCGTCCGCACTGCTCCTAGCACCGATGTTGTGAAGCCCAAGGCCTCCAACAGGTGGATCTTCCACAGACCAAACGACGTCGGTCGCCAAACGCGGGCGGGAGGTCGTTTTGGGCCGTTTGGGCCCTTGGTTTTGGATCGAAAGAATGTCGGGATGACATAGGATGGAGCTCAGCAAGTGCGGGTCTTCGACTTGGGGCCACTTGTGGGGTGATCCTTGCACAAAAGAGAGAGCTCAAACGACCCCGATCTTCTCCTTGTGCCGCGAAGCGCCCGACACTGAAGTTCCCAAGGCACACGACCGTGCCGCGGACCGTCCGCAGCACGGCTTGCCGTTGGTGCCAGTCAGTGGAGGTTTCGTCCTCATCGACGCGGTGGTGATGGAGGCCCCAACGGGTGGTGCGGCCCCATAAGCCTGAGGGGTTCTGGTCGAAAGACTGGAGCCAGGTGAGACCTGAGATGGGTCCACAAAAGATCCAGCTTCTGTTCAAACGACCCAACCAAAGACACTTCTAGTTTTAACCAGTCTCTTGCCAACCAGACCTTCAAGAGTGAACAGCGGCCAAAACTTACGTCCTGCCTCCGCATCAGCACAAATGATTTCGCCTTCTGTACCTGGTAGGACACGAAGCTCGAATCACATGCGGTGGCTCAAGAATACCAGGACCCTCCAAGGGGTGCCCAATGGAAGCAAATAGGTAGTGTGGGGTAGTTCATTGGACACCCCTTGGAGGGTCCTGGTAGACTCTGCTAATGTCAATGGCCATGGCCGCATTGCTTCTCATCGGTTCGCAGGACTCATGAAGAATCCGCACCAGAATGCATCATCAGCTCCAAGCGCTGTGAGATGCACATGGCCAAAACAAGAATCGCAAAATGCATTTTTGGGGTAAGCGTACTTGGCTTCACCATCGAGGCAGCAAACTGGTATTTGCTTGCCTTGGTTCAGAACGTCCGGATCTTTGAACACTGGCAGTCTTTCGCTCTTTTTTTGAGCTCGGTGTTCCCCGAAAGGTCGCTCGCGCATCGCAGTAGCGGCAAGGCACCGGCCAAGCGGAAAGCAAAGGTTTGGGATCACCGTTTCTGATGCTTCTTAGGCATCCAAAAAAACTCTCTCCATGGGTCATGGGACTGGCAGAATCTGGGTGGTTGCTGGACCTGGCGTCATGAATGCTGGAAGTCCAGTTCGACCAAGAAAAAACCACAGTGAAGTAAGGGACGTTCCTTTTGGGATCACCAAAAGACCATGTTCAAAAAAGTCGAGTCTTGGACTCCCAGGGTGAAGCCACTATATAGGGATATATAGGGCAAAAAGCACGCCTCTTTACCGTGCAAGCGGTGGTTCCAGGTGGCGCCAGTGCCAAACTCTTCTCAAAAAAGAAGACAAGCTGATTGTGCAACCAAAATGGTGCCAAGTGGGATTGGACCCACCGCATAGTCGTCTGCCACGACACTGTTCATTGTTTTACTATGACAACCCAAAACAGCCAACCGTTGATGGACGCTCAAGTCTACTGTGTAACAGTCAGAGTCCCAAAAAGACCCTAGTAGAACAAGGACATGACGTATTTGGTGCACCAAACTCACAGCGTCAGACAAATGCGGTGTACTTTGTTTTGTCCTTAAGCAAACAACAACCGTTTCGATTGTTGGACATTGTTCGATTAGTTTAAGACCACTCTTTTTGCTTATCCCAATTTCCGCCCAACCTGCTCCTGCTCCTCCAGGGTGCATCGACAGGAAACACATCTGGCTCAGCACCAGTGAAGAGTGCCTTCGGAAGAACTTCCCATGCCAACGAAATCTCCAGCTACTTTCATGCTGCCTAAACAAGAAAATGTGCCAGCTACTTTCAGAGCGTTTGGATTGAAAAAAATGGATGAGAGCACTCCCTGAAATCACCGGAAGTAGCCCTGGGTGTGAAGTGATTCATGGCCCAAAATCCCGGGCCCTCCTGAAATCCTGGTCGAATCGGACTCCGAATCGAACCCCCCCCCACAAAAAGAAACACATCCCAAAAGGGGTGCGATATCTCATACCAGTGGATTGAGAGTAGATGGGATTCAATCCCCAAAAGGTGGTTCATATGGATCCCCATCAAAAAGACCTCTTGGGGTGCCAGTGCCATCTACTCTGAAAACCACTGTAGATAGGGAGGCCTGACCCGTCTAGACCTGATTGAGGAGTCACCCGATAGGTCCGATAGGTACTGTAAAACCAGAGCCTCGGAACCAGCGGCGGCGTCCAAAACATTTCAAAGCTGCCCTGTCCTAGGGCTGCAAAACGGTGTTGGAAGAAGAAACCCAACCGGTGCTCGGCACGAAACACCGGCCATTGCCATAGCCAACTGCCCAAATGTGCCCTCTCCTGCCTCGAAAATGGGTTGCAAGCATTTCATGTCAGTCACGGTGATGTTCTCGTGCAAGGTGCGCAAAGCCTGCGCCTGCACAAGGGAGGTGAGACTGTTCCACCGAAGGTCGCGCAATCGATCCAGGACAATGGGAGAGACTGCATCTTCACACCCGCAAGCTGCTCATTGGGCCACTTCTCTGCTTTTCAAGTGGGAGATGCATCCCAGGACTGAGCTCCAGCGTAGCAGTTGCCCGCAGGTTGCTGTTTGAACAGACATCCACCCCCAGAAACCCACACCAGTTCCCAACGGAGGCAGCCAATTCTGCCCAGCTGGAACCTCCGTTCTCCGTGAAACGGGCGGTGCTTCAGACTGAGCGACTGAGCTTCCCGACACGAGCACCCAAGCAAAGGGCCAAGCGATGCAAAATATCCTGGCCAAGCAATGCGTCGAGCGATGCATCACGCAGAAGAGCTCCTTCTCTTCCGGACCATGCCGACAAAAGTGGTGTTTCCCGTGTGTGTTCTCTTCTTGAGGCCCTTGGCTCACAGAACCGTGAAACCTAGGAAACAAAAAGTCAACCAAATGCACTGGTCTCTTGCTTGACGTCCTCAGCAACGTCCAGTGTGCAGTGTCGACGTCCGCATGAAACGCATGAAGGGTCTTCAGAACCCTGGGACTCTTCAGCCGCCATGGCAACTCGGAGATCGAAAACACTCCCCAGCCGCCACCTTTTCTTTGGAGGTGATGAAAGGCAGACCCTGCAGCACACAACACATGGAATACCATGTGTAACAGCATTCAAGCCTTGCACCTCAACGACGCAATCATCCAGTTCCTTTTCAGAAGAGATCACATGAAAACCCATCCCGGCATATCTCCAACATGTTTGGCGGCAAAAGGATCCAACCAACTCTTTGCAAGTTATATACTCATTGACTCGGGCGATTTGCCGCGAGTCTCACCTGCTTGGCCGCTATTTGGCTTGCCATCGACTGGTAATCCTCCTGGGCCTCGGGTGGCGCGAGTCGCGCAGCGAGTCGCGCAGCGAGTCGCGCAGCGAGTCGCGCAACGAGTCGCGCAGCGAGTCGCGCGTGCGCGTTCACGATGAGTGGAGCATGGAAAAAATAATCAAGAGATATGAAGAGACTAAGAATAGAAATAATAGAATAGAAACATAATGAAATAGAATAATGAATGTGTGTAGGTCTTGTGTCGGTGCATGTTCTACAAATCAATGAATTGCAAATCTTTTGCGGGACAAGAGCAATAAAACAAATATGTGAAAATGACATAAAGAAAGGAAATAGGAAAAGAATACCAAAGAAAAAATGAACGAAGAACTCATGAGCAGAATGAAGAGCTCATGAGCAGAATCTCGGGACATCCGCCTCGCCTCAACCACTTGACCCCAGGAGTCGTGCTGCTGAGCTTTGTTGAATTGCGTCTGCGGCGCCGAGGACGAACGGGCCACCCTTCTTCAGTGGGTGGGCAAGTCGTTGCCCAGCTTGCTGCTACAACCCGCCCAAGCTGCAAAACCATGAAGAAAGGACAGAGTAGTCTGTGTCCCCATGCAAAAAACAAAACAACATCCTACGGAAAAATGCCCCGTAGGGCTGAGGGAAAGCGAATACATTCGGCCTGGCCAGTTCAAACAGTTGCCATGATGGTTGCAATGATGGAAAATGTATCCTGTTGTTTTGAATGGAACCCCCATGATATTGCAAACGTTCATTGGGAACTTGGCTTCTTTGGTTGTCTCCCTCATCGGAAAACGCACACCCCTCGGAGCTGGGAATCTGCTCTTGGAGATCTGCCCAGACGCTCATGGAGCCTCATTGCCTACAACACACCGGTTTGTTCGGTCCAATCGCCCGGAAACCGGGTGAAAAAAGGACCCTAGCCATGAGGGGTTCTCAGTGAGCCTTTGGGTAAGAACTTGGACCTGCCAATGAATCAAAGACCGTGGAGTCCAAACTGTGAGACTTTCGCTCGACGGCCACCTCTGTCGTCTTCGAAGTTCTGGGAAACCCGGGACCCGGCTTTGAGAGGATTCTGTAGCCCAAACGGACCGAAGCCCCAAGAGGTCTTTCACAAAAAGAACCAGTTCCAATTGGCCTTGGGGAATGATCCCACTCGACTGGACACTTTCACCACACCCCTTCACTTGAACTGAGTGGATGGCACAGAGAGCCCCCCCCCCTTTTCACTCGAGGCCGTTCACCCCGAGCTCCGCACCATCCAAGAGAGCCGAAGCTGCTCCTTTTCGGACATCGCCATGGCGGGGCGGGCGACGCCTGGTTTGTTGCGACGTCCACTAGCGATTTCAAGCATCGAACTGGCCAAGAAAGAGCAACTGACAACTGAAGACTCTTTGGCTCTCCGTGGCTTTGTCTCGCTAAAACCTGCCTGCCTACAATGATCTACAGCATGTGTTTAAACTGTTCATGTATCTAAAACATGTCCAGTTGGCTCTCCATGACATATCCAAGAAGTATCTTCGTCTCCAAATCGGAGAACCATCTGCACCAAATCCCCCACCCACCTGACGTGACCACCCCGCGGCCGGCCTCCGCCCTCGGCTCCGGAGCACTGAATGCCGTGCCGTCGCCAGAGTTCGAAGCTGCGGATGGTCGATCTGAGTCTTGGGAATCACATGCGATCTGCAGTAGTGTGTGGTGTCTCAAACAATCTGATCTCTTAAAGCCTTCAATCACCGACCTGAAGTCACCCACCCCTCAACAAACAGAACGACTGGCACACGTGTGGGGGTTCTGGATGGGCTAATTGTGAGAGATCTCCGACTGTCCTCCGTGTTGAACGCCGGTTGGCAACATGGTCTGGGCTTCTCAGACCGAGGATTGACTGCTGACCCGCACCTGCAACCCGGCCCTTTTCCACCGGAGCGCAACAGCAAAGCTACCAGGTCAAGCCACTCCTTCGGCAACTACGGGAACGAGCTCGGAGGGCCCTGCATCGCGCTCGCCGCACAGGGCCCCGATCATGACTGCGATGTCGGAAGTGATCTCCGGACGAATCCGGTGGTGTCCGATGTCGGCTCATGGAGTTTGGAAGGGGTGCAGTTCTGCAATGTTCTGCAAACATTAACCCCATCGGGTGCCAAGAAAGGACCATGGAGGAATGGCTTACAAAGCCCAAAGAAGATACTGTAACATATGTAATATATAGTATAATGATTGAAGTAGATTATAAATATATATATATATGTATGAACTCCCAAAAGCGCAGGTCAAGCCTAGCCTTAATCAACGGTGGCCACCAACAAAATAGTAGACTGCTCCGGCTTCGGACGCTCTTGTGCATCACTTCAGAAGAGAAGAACCTGAGGAGGTCTACGCCGCGTAGAAAAAAATTACATTCGGGATCTGGCTCCAAGAAGAACATGTCAAAAAGAATCACTGGTCTTGGTCGATTGGTCCTTTACAAGCAAAATTTGGAAAGGCACAATTTTCAGCTATGTTGTCGTGAAGCAATGGAATCCTTCAGGCTGAGACTCTCCACTACACATGTCTCACTGATTTCACCTTAAAAAGAACATCTGCACTGTCTTCCCCTGCTCCAACAAAGCGCATCACTCAAGCACCGGGGAGTGGGAAGGCAGGCGAAGCAACACTGCGACGTTGGGAAACTTTTGGATGTTCATATAGCACCTAAGAATCAAGAAGCGCCGTGGTCGGCAGTGAGACTGAATTCAACGTTGCTAGGTGGAAAAATCAGCGATGCTCTCACTTGCTATTTGGCCCATTGACCTGCCATGTGCGGGATCAACGCGCCATGCAGCCGCAGCCCCTTTTTGGAGTTATTTACAGTATGTCCAAACCTCTTGAGGTCCTGACTGGAGGCATCTGACTCTATATGGGCAAGTCCATATGGACTGCTCATTATGGCACCAGAACAACGACCATGACCCCGCAAGCAGAGAACAGCAAGTCCAGTCCCAACTCATGTTTGGAGAGCGAAGTTGTGGTTGTTTCAATGCATGCTCGCTCTCTCTCTCTCTCTCTCTCTGTCTCTCTCTGGGATCATCATGCAACGGGGTAGACCGACCTCGAAGTCGATGCATCTTCAGAGACCTGAGACCTGCTGGGCCAGTTTCAGCAGGCCATCTGAGGGGGTTCTCTGGGCCAGATAAGCCCGACCAGACGTCCCGCACTGGACGGACGACCGCGGATGGAATCCGAACACACACGTCGCTCACCCACTACTCGGGAGGGCTCCCGTTGTCCCCCCCCAAGCCCAAGCAGAAGACACCAAAGGACGCCGCTCCGCCCATCTCGACGCCGCGCGCGTGCGCCCCACGCAACGGACGCCCGCGCACCAAGATAGCGATCAAGGAGATCAGGAGGAAGGCCCTGGGAGAGTCGACCAGTCGACGACGAGTCGACGACGAGTCGACTCGACACAGGTCCACTCATGTCGGTGACCAGGCAGGATATGGCAGGACACTACTCAAGCTCAGACTCCTGAGCGCCCACACAAGACAAGGGCGAGTGCGACCTCAAGCTGATGAGTCAATGAGTGAATGGAAGTACTGTTGGATAGACTCTGGATGAGTCGGATAGACCTTTTTGGTAAGACAAGGGTCGCTGACTGCGACCTCAAAGGTTCACACCATACTCGACCGATCGCTGACCTGCCACCCGGATCTGCTTAAGCCATCCACGGGCAGGACGTCGAGAACGAACTGGTTTCTGCTTTCCTCCTTGGAAAACACGTGATGGACACGGTGGTCATTTTGCTTCGTGTTCATTGCAAGTTGGCCTGCTCAAAACCAAGACAGAATGCTGCTAGGACGAAGAAACAGAGAGAAGAACAAGTACTGCGTCACTACTTGCGTTCAATGCCTAGCGCCAAGTGATACCAAGTAAACCCACCTCCATTTCTGCTGCCTCTTTGGCAGCCTCCGCCGCTTGAACTTCTGCAGCCTGCCGTCGCCCGCGCCGCTCCCCGCGGCCCACGGAAACCAAGTCCTAGCCGAACGAACGAAGGATGCCCCGCAGGCGCCGCAGCTGGTTGCTTTCCTTGAAGTGATCAGCCTGGAGGTCTTAGAACCCGAAAGGTGCCCTGGCCTTTCTGATGTCATTTTGTCAATCGACCCCTGCGATGCAACGAAGGAGCTCCCTCGGAGGGTTTCTCAGGGTCTCTTCTGGTGGCCTGAACGAGGCCTCCTCGTGTTGGTGGACTGCTCCCCAGACCGGTCGGGCCCATTGACCCATGGTGTTCGTCATCGAGAAAGGCGATCGGCGATCGGCATCCACTTCTTCGCGCGGTTGTGGGGGCCTCTTTGTCCGACCCTTTTGGTCTCCCAAGGATGTCCTTCTCAGGAATCAGTACCTTGGAGTCCATACCAAGTAATTACTATACCTGGACCTTCCTTCGGGGTGTCCTGGCTGGAGGTCCCGAATAGTAGTGGGCTGGGGCGAAACCAGCCAGGTGACCCCGACATGAAGGTAATTCATAGACTCTTGATTTATAAACCCCCCATGAAAAATGAAGAGGATGTCCAATTCAAATGAGGCGGGGGTATGAACCAAGAGTCTACATTAGGAGACCGGTTCTTCACTTCCCGAAGGTATCCCCTTGATTCAACCAAGCAAGTTCGCCAAAGGATGCCCCTATACCATCGATACCGCAGTCCTTTTCGACTCTTTGGGGCACCACCAAAGTAAAGGAAATTCATGGAAAGTCCTCTTCACTGACTCTTCACTCGAGTCACCTAGTCCTAGTCATACCATGTCATACCATGTTTCAACAGTGTTGTTTTTCAAAGTCTTCGTTTTTCTGGACTAGTCGCCCAGTCACCTAGTCACCGAATTCGCTCTTTTTGGCACTTCAGCTCCTCCGCCGTCTGGTCCATCCATCCGTCACCCGGTCGCCCGGCCGCCGGCACCTCATAGTCCTCGGGCGAGAGCCCCGCTCGTGCCGCCCTCCGTTCGATGCGCTCGCGGCGGATCCGATCCGCATTCTGCAGCCTCGGAGCGCTGTGCGCAGCGCGCTGGGCGCACGCGCTGCGGAAGCGCTGCGGGTGTTTCTGCGAAGCTCGGTCATCTGCAGATGTCATGTGGATCTATACTTGATTAAGTTATAAACAAAAACAAACCGATTGTAAAACCCTCAGGCTTGGGGAGTTTTGATGAACGAGTCTACACCAAAGAAGGATCTTTCATGGCAAAGCATTGTAAAGAACATATGTCCCACTTTCAGCAACGCCCAAAGGGTCTAGTTCTTGGTGTCTCGTGTTCGAACCTTGGAAACGAGTCTTGGAAAGGAATCTTCTCTGACAGGATCTGGAAATCTACCAGGATTTGATCAGAGAAAATCCACGCGAAGTTGGTGGCACGAAGCCCAACCCAGTCGTGCCGAATGCCCAGAAACTCGACAAATTTCTAGGATGCAGCAAAAGGTGAACAAACGGGCCACCATCTTTGCAGGATCTTCATTCCAGCTGAACGATCCTGCCAAATTCCTGTGATCATCTTTCATCCGGATCACTCGTGGGTTTTTGGCCAGAAAAGTGCCTGCTTCGGCTCCACCTGACGTTCCAAAGAGATGGATACATCCACCAAACTCCACAACTGACTCCATACCACTGATGTCTCCACCCCTGATCCCAGTCCCGCGCCGGCGTCCTCCGACTGGGAGGGCCCAGCTTGGCAAATTCGATCTGTTGCACTCGCGCCACCCAGCTCTCCACCCAGAAGAGGTCGTCGTTGCACTGAGAGGTCGTCGACGGGGCCGTCGTTCGCGAGAGACGTGAGGGGAGAAAAGGCAGGAAGCAGCTGCTACGCTCTCCTGTGGTTTCGAAGAGAAACTGCGATTGATGGGAGGAATTGATTTGTGCAGAGTTCACTCTTCCTGAAAAAGAAAAAACAGCAGGGTTGAGAGTTTTCCAATTGAGATCATGCAACCATTCATATTCTAGACTTCTAAGTTCTTTGCTTGCTAAGTCTTGGCCTGCAAGCTGGCCTTGGAAAGCTTCCCAACCTTCAAAATGAAGATCCATCCATTTGATGTCCAACTTCTTTCGTCACCCATGTCGATCATTCCACCATGATTCGCCCACCAGCGATTCTCAACCAGCCCAGCCGACTCCAGCCTTCATGATTTTGCGATAAGCCCTGGGCTGCGACCGTTCGAACACACCGAAATCAGGGAAATCTGGCGGAATCTGCGTCCCTTGGATGCCCTGGAATGGCAAGGATCGGTCGGACCGCAATTCCAAACCTGGACTCTTGGAATAGTCCTGGGGCGAAGAAGTCGGCATGCCGGGAAACCTTGTACAGTTGATCAAGGACAGGTCAACACCCTGGTTGCAGTACAGTATTTGTTTCTACAACCCAGTGCTTCCACAGATCACGTCATGTACTACATCTATAGTGGATGAAACGATATGGACTGATATATGGTACATCTACACCCCAGAAGTGCAACGAACACCTGCAAGACGTCCTTGCGCCAAAAAAACTATGAGCGGGTAAAAAACCAAACAAAAAAACTCTCCCAGCCCTGAGTTGGGCCCAGAACTTTCTGTCCCAAGCAACACCAAAGTCTTTGAAAAGGTATGAGAAAAGGAGTCTGCTTCGTGGGTTGTTCTTGTCAGTCTGCCAGCTCAAACGCGCACAGGTCAAACGACCTCATGACCGGATGGCTCCGGTCACTGAGGGCCGAAGGAGCCTGTATCTTCCTTTGGCGCCGGCTGCAATGGTCAAAACTTCAAAACTTGAAGAGGGGTGAAGAGCTTCAAGGGGAACCAAACGACCAAACCATACACATCCCTCACAACGAAAAGAGAACTTCCTCCATCCCCTCCGTCACCCCTCATCCTCCCCCTATCTCTATCTATTTGCAAATGCCCCTACGCCTAAAAACCTTCAGAAGATGTCAGAAGTCCGCCAAGACTGACCTCCCCCAACCTCCGACACCAAGCCTCCTTCACCCCAAAAAGCCTCACCAACCTCGCGTCGCCCCGCGTTCGGCCCGCCAAGCGGCTTGGTGATGTTGGCCCAGCGCTCGATGGCCGCCGGCGAGCGATCCCCCTTCACCTGGGGTCCGAGTGGGGTGGGAAGGAGCGTAGGACGACACGAGATGGGGAGGATCACCTGAAAACTTGGACTGTCGGATCACAGATTCCTTTTGGAAAGAAGAGGGAGGTCGGATGATTGGTTTCAGCTATGGCTATATATATATATATGTCTTTTAATGGCTTGGGTCTTTTTTAACAGAGGGATGTGCAACCTATCGAAGGGAGGCGGGGTTCCTTGGGGATGTTCGTCGCGCAGAACGATTTCTTGCTGCCGCTGCTTGGCATGAGGACAGCATGGCCAAGGCAAGTGCCGGCAGGTAGCTGCAGGTTTGGGGTGAAGGTCAGGCCCGTGAACAAACTGCTAGTCCTGTTGGAGACCTTTCTGTATGCTTCAATTGATGTCCATATTCTGGAAGTTGCTTGCCAGATTCACTCATGATGAGGCAGATTCCAAACCCTGGGTGAAGGGATCTAGGGATGATCAAAAGACACGTGTACGGCCTCTTTGTCTGAATCAAAAGCTAAGAAGAGATTATCGCCCTTGTTTCTTGCTCGGTTCTTTGCCGGCGAGAGAACAAACATGAACAACGTGGACAGTTCCGACCTGTTGCCAGCTCAGCTCGGAACATCTGGGTGGTTGTTCCTGACAAACTTCTTGAACCTCGATCAGTCGGATTTCGAAGGTCGCGAGAGCTTGAGGTTCCACTTTTTTCCGAGAAACTGAAAGTATAGGTGAACTACACCCGGAAGGGCAGGGCCCATGCCCCGAAAAGAAACAAAAACACACATCGACACCTCTTCCCTCCTGGTACTCGTGATCTTTCCTTAGCAGACCTGGTCACAAAGCTAGAGAGTGGATCCGAAATCGCTGACCAGTGAAGAAAGCCACCATAGCCCCTATATTGCTTACCAGTGAATGTCAATCACACCAAAAGCATCAAAACAAAAAAAAAGGAAGCAGTCCAGCACCCCCACCAGTCCTTGCATAGACCATGGACCATGCGCGTTGCAGTGTCACAGAACCCTCAAAACTACAGTGAATCCGTTGCACCCTTGTCGCAAACTCTCGATTTGGGGATAATTCAGGATTCGGTAAGTTAGTTTTAATTGGCTGTTGAGCTTGGAGAGGAAAACCAAAACACCCAAACCCAGCATTTCCTGTGGGTTTTCACACCTCACCTATCTCTGCCTGTCCCTGTCTCACTGATCCGACTCACCCAGACTCCGGCCAACACGCTCGTCTCGCTGAAAACGCCGCGCCCACCCGGCGGTGCGCGCGCGGGACCGGACCCGGGACCGGCGCGCGGCCCGGTTCGCCGAGACGCTTTTGCTTGATCTCCGCCTTCGTGGCCGTGCCCTTTAAGCCCAGCAAGGACCAAATCCTCGGTGCCGCGAAGGTCGACCGGGAAGGGGTGTTTTGGTTGGTGGAAGGACGGGATCTCAAGGCTTACACATGGAGAGAACTCAGCTTCTGTTGGAAAGGGCCACCTCCCTCGGGCCACCAGCACCTGTGGCCTAGGTGGTGCTACTGGCCAGCAACGACCTCGCGCCAAGATTTGACCAAAACGAATGCAGAAAAAGACTTGGCCCATCACAACCTGCAGAAGCGCAGGCCCCCTCCGTCGCCCCCTGACTGTGTCGTGCTGCTCATCGCCCCAAGCGTCTCAGTGCCAGCGACCGTGGGGGACGACGTCGCACGAAGACGGTGTCGTTGTCGATGTGCCCGGGCCTCGCGATCGCGCGATCAGACGGTGTCGTGGTCGGTGCAACGCCTCAGGTTTGGATATAGTAGAAACATATCGAAACATATGGAAACATGGAAACCATGGAAGTGCAAGCTGGTCCGATTGTTATGCGTCTTGTTTTGCTTTGCTCCTGCTATCTCGTTCCATGAAAGTCACAGTGACCGTGTAAGTTACGATGGATCTATAACATATATACCATGTTAATCCATTTTATCCATACAGAGCATCAGTACAATAGGCTACCCACACTCCCATACCTTTGCAGCTTGTACTCCCCCCGGCGCCGTTTTCACCGCCCCGAACTGATGTCCCGCTCAGTCGAACCAGCATAAAGCCCCAGGCGGGAAGAGGTTATACAAGCTAGAGCTAGACAATCCAAATGGAATCTAGCTAGAGCAGCTAGAGCTAGAGCTCGAGCTCGGGCTAGGTCGTTTATCAAGAGATCGTTCAGTCTGTCTTCGCAAGTCAAGAGTCGACGCAAAGATGCGCGCATCTGATGCGAGCACTTCGCTCGATTCAAAAGCCGCCACCCAGGGCTTTTCTGGAAGGGATCCAAACATGAAAGCACAACTTGGACTTGGATGGCTGTCCGCAAGCTGCCGTGAAACGAACAGAATCGTTCTCACCATGTACAAAACCTTGGTGTGGCTTGTTTTGTACAGCATCATCCGTTGGATCAAACAATTTGGTAAGGAGGCCTCCCTTAAGTGTAGCAACATGTAGCAACCAAATGTATACATTCAAATTTCAAAGGGAGTGTTCGGAGACACGGAATTGGCGCATAATTTATGCATGTACTTTGTGCATCTTTTCTCCGAAGTGTTGGGATTGTCTCAAATCATCTACCTCCGAACCCCATCATCTCACTAAAGGTCATTTACTTTCCCTCTGAAGGTGTCCAAGCAAATGCAACGTGCTTGACCCGTTTTCACCCAGGAGAATCCAGTTAGAAGGCCGGCAGATGGAGCCATTCCCAGCTCTGCAAACGTCGCGTCCCCCCCGTTTCCAAAGCTAGGTCTGAAACGTCGATCACCCTTGGCAAGAGAGAAAACGAAAAGTTAAAACATTCAACACTAATGACGAGAGAAATCAGAACATTCCAAATCTCTTCGAAATAAAACGTGAAGACGCGAAGACGCTTCCGTCAAGATCCGCCTTCGCTGCCAAGGGGACTAGCACAGCAACAAGCAAGGCTGGTCCAGAAGGCACCTCAAAGGTACCATCGAAACAACGCCGCGGAACACGGGGGAGGTGAGCGGCAAAACACCCCCAGTTTGGTCGCCTTCGACCATCATGTCAGACCATCTTTCAGAGCTAGCCTTCTTTAGATCTCCTCAGACCATCCTTCGATCAAAGCGTCTTCTTTAGATTTGGATCTTCTCTTTTCCGCGTGGAGTCCGCGTCTTCGACGCCGGCCCTTCCTGGCGTCTTCAGCCGCCAACTGGCGCCAACTGGCGCCTTCAGTCTGTCTGGGACACCCCAGCGTGGAAGGGGTGGCGTGTCGGTCTGCCTGGGCGATCGATCGAAGAAAGGTTGAGAGACCATATAAGACCCTGGTCTGTGGTACATATGGAATGGGCTATAGGGCTGTTCAACCCCTCTTGGATTTTATCCTAGAACTTCCGTTTTGACTCAGTTTTGACTCATGAACTACTCCACCTGGTAGTCAATCGATCGACCACTACCAGGCCGGGGAAAAATGGGTCATGACTGGACTCACGCCTGGGGAGGTCTCCGTATGTATACGTAAATGTATACATACAGGTCTCCAAATGGAGGCTTAGCATCTCAGAGCTCCAAATGGATCGGAGCTTGACTCTCTGCACCTCCCCCTTGATCCTCTGTGGTTTCGCGGGTAGCCGCTGCGGCTGAACCTGTCCATCTTTGCACGTTCAGTGGTGAAGGAAGAAAAGAAGTGTCCACACCCGTAGGTCCCCAGACTGAAGGAAGAGGTTAGATCAGTCTGACTGACCACTGTGTAAGATTTCGGGGTCCTATATAACTGATCTAACCTCTTCAGCCTTCCTGAAGAGGAGACCTAAAGCCTAGGACGGTGTGATCGACGAGTTCTTTTGAAGACACACGTCGTGTTGGTCCACCCTGACCTGCTCCAAAAAAGAGGTGGCCAGAAAAAATGGGGGTGCCTTTCATAAAGTGAACATAGAAGGCTTAGAAGTTCCAGGGAGATTTGCAGGTTCTCAGTCGTCCGTCTTCGACCGGCCCAAAAGCAGCTGCTCACCCACCTGGCCCAGGTTCGTTGAGAGGAGCTGGCGGAGGTCGAGGCACATCCGCCTAAGAGAAGGACCAGCGGAGCGGTTCAGCAGCTGAGGGTCCAGTCGTGCGGCGGAGAGGTCGTTGGGAGGTCGAACACCTGGATGCGTGTTGCCAGTTTCAGGGGGTTGCGGGCGATTCTCCCCGAAACATGCCACGAAGCAGTTGGGATCAGTTGCCTCCAACTCTAGATTTCGGTGCACCTTCGATGCCACCTGGAAGTTTCGCGGGGACCTTGTTGAAGGTTTTGCAGCAGTCGCCGATGAACCTCGTCTCTTGCCCTAGGCCGATTGTGCCAAAGCATGTTAAAACCGTAGACATGCTATGCTGGGGAGTGAGAGGTGTTCTATGGTGGCCAATGATCCGGAGGTGCAGAGTAGACGCATTGCAGACATGGTTGAGCGTCACTGCTTGGCTCAACCGAGTCACACGGTGTGATTGGTGTATGTCGGCTTTGCCAAGCCTGCAGAGTTTACTGCTGCACATATGACAGGGCCTGTGTAGCTTTCGAGCTCAATGGCTTGAACATGCTTGAACCGCATCATCCTAAACCACGTCAGGTCAGCTGCATGGTGCATGGTCCATCCAGGTCCGCCAGGGCACCAGAGACGCAAAAAATTCGATGGAAGACATGGCGGCTGGCTCAGCCAATTGAGTGCAGATAAGGTGTTATTGTTGCGATTGGAGTTTGCACTGGCTGTTCTTCTACAAAAATGTCTGCCAACTTTGCAAAAACATTGGGAATGACACCAAGATACACCAAGCATATAATAGTATAGGGCAAATGTTGCTGCATCATTTGGTGACAACTGCCGCAATTGGCTGCGGGCCAAAATCGCAGCACACAAGCATCCAGCCCCGGTCCAACCCTGCAAATCAGCGAGATGGGTCAAAGGTCAAAGGTATGAATCAGTTACAAGTTACAAGTGGCCTGTATGGCACGAACGATCCCGCACCCCAAGGGAGTCTGGCTTCCGCTCAGTCTAAGGGTTTGAACCAAGGCGACAGAGGCACAAAACGATCCCAAGCCAGCAAGTCGGTCGGTCCTTTTTCATGCTCGGCAGACTTCGCTCGACCTCCTTGCAGATTGAAGGGCCCGACACATGTCACATGCATTTCGGGATCGGCGGCCTGGAAACTCATTCACAGTATCATAGAAGAACCCTCATAAATATCTCTGCCTAGACCTTCCAACTGCAAACTGAAAAGGCAGACATGCTGCATAGTTGAAAGAACCAGGTATAAGACTCTTTGCCCCAAACCTCGGGCTTCAAATGGATTCTCCCAAAAGAGTCTGCGATTGGAACTGAGAAAATAGTTCGGTTTTGATGCAACAAAGGACTTAGCGCTGCATACCCACAACTGCTGAGGTCATGTTCACACTGCTGCAGTAGTTGCCATTGCGCATGAGGTCTCGCGACGCGCTGTCGCTACACCCATCAGGCGCTGTCTAGTGCTTTGACTGACTGACCTCAACCCACGCTCAACTCAAATTGCTGCAGCCTGGAATGGGAGAAAGTGGGAGCCGTCTCCACAAGTCCATCTTGACTCCTTCCAGTCCTTGCCATCCTGCGCCTCCAAAAAAGGGTCACATCGGTCAAAAGATTCAACATGAACTCCACTGGGCTCCGGTGGAACTTCGTTCGACCTGTGATGATATCCCTTCGGTCTCTTCCCCACCCTACGGCTCTGGACCCACCGGTGGCCTCTTGAGGCTCCACTGCCATCTGTGCCACGGAGGGGGCGCTTGGCTCCTGTCCAGCCGAGCCGAGCGCGCGCGGTGCCCGGGGCGAAACCGAACACCGAAACCTTCCGTTATGATCCACCGCTGTGTGTGAGAGAGAAGAGACAGCGGCCAGTCGTCATGCCAGGTCATGCCAGGTCATGATGCAAAAGGCCTGCGGTTCTTCAGCGTGTGGCGTTCTTCGTGCTAAGATGCCGGCCGCACTGGCAGCAGCCCTTAGATCTGGCTCCACCGGCGTGCTCACCTGAGGAAGTGCCCAGTATAGACGGGGCCTTTCGAAAGGTAAGGTACATAAAACATTCCATTCTTAAACCTGAAGGGCTTCCAGATCCACGTTGAGTCACAGTCGAATCATCCTTCATCAACACCATGGATGCTTTGTTGGATTCTTCCCAAAACAGTTCGGAAACCCATCACTGCCATCAGAACCCACCCCCCCCTTCGTGTGGTCCGGGCTCAAAACGCCACGCCTGCTCGACCCAAAAACCGGTCCCGATCGGGTCGATCGAGGCCTGTCACCCCCGGGGGGGCGCATCTGAGACTTCGGGCGTGGAAGCTCTCACCCCGCAATGCCTGGGCAGCGCCGCGCGGCGGACCGCGGCTGACCGCTGCCCGCGGCGGACGGGTGTTCGCGAAGCACCATGACGAAGAGAAGTGTCTGCGTGACAGAAGAAAAGAAAAAACAAGGGCCAGCAGTATGGGTGCTAGTCGTGGTTAGATCAGGGATTCGTCTGAAGCTCTGCATAGCTCTGCCCAAACACCAGAAACCGGAGCAATGAGCACTGTTCACCTTTTTTGGGGCGCCCGAACAACACGCCCACCAAACGGCTCTCATTGGGTACCCCGCCATCGGAACGGTGTCATGTCCCGAGACGTCCTGCGCGGTGCGGTTGGACCCCGCACCGAAGGCGCCTGGTTGAAGACCCGAAACCAAAGACCGGAGAAATCCGGGGCTGGGGAGATGTTCCTTGGAAGCTTGAAGTTGGAAGCTTTAAGAAGAGAACCTTTGCTTAGCACCTTTTGTCCTGGTGCTTTTGACTTGACTGTGTCTCCGAATCCAATCTTTCGGGGACCTTTGCTTTACAAACGCTGCTCAAAACCTTTGTGTCACTCGGAAACCTGTCTTGAGAAGCTTTGCCGGCAGCCAATTCTTGGAAGCTCTGCTTGGAATCTTTACTTGAAACCTTCTAGCCTCGCATGCTTACACAACTCCAAGTCCTAGCTACCATCCTCAACCTTGCCAGCAACCTAAGCCAGCATTGTCTGAACAATGCAGGTTAAGTTGGCTAACATCAGCATGTGTTTTGCACTCAAAAAGCTGCTAGTTCTCCGCCTTCCCCGGCCTTCACATGGGGAAGCATTTCGCAGGACTCAACTCCGCTCCCACCGTGCCCCGCCTGCGCGGGCTCAAAAGCTTCAATCTCCACATCATCTGGGGACTCCACGTGCAAGCCATGGGGCGCCAGCCTAGTCAACTCGCTGCAGACGACTCCAGCTTTTCGTCTACCGGCCGCCACGAGTCTCCCGGGGCCGCTGGCGAGTCGACCGGATGGGCGGTTGAGGAAACGTAGGTCGGTCGGTCGTTCTACGTTGAACCTCAGAAGCGGACTAGATCCAATCTGAACCTCAAACGTCGAGGAGCAGCAACATGGGGTGTGGATTGACCTGAGAAATGAGGAGAATTTGGAACAAATCCAACTTTGCTTCATATGCTGGATCTGACTTTGCTCGGACCAGGCGACCCCATGCAACCCCAGACTTCCAGAACCGAGCGGCTTCCGCAGCGAGCGGAACTCGCGAAAGGACCGGGAGCTGGAGTCGTGCAGGTTTCGATGTCCTTTCGTGAATAGAAGAAACTTGAGCCTGGCTACCCAAGTCAACAGCTCACAACAGCTCACAACAGGTCACAACAAATTTAAATATTAATACGGAAATAGAAACGGAAATTAACTGGATAAATAGAAACAGAAACTAAATCAAACAATACAGCAACAGATCATGGTTTCTTGACAGGCTTCCGGGGGATCCCATCATACACATTGTCGCAGTATGCTATGTTGCAAACTAACAAGCGTCACAATCAAAACAAACCCATCACGACACAAACATGTGCACACGTCAACCAGCCATTGTTCGCAGTCCAATGTCAATATTTGTCTCAACACTTCTCAAACTTAATGATCAAGAAATCAATGTTCAGCGCCTTCCACTTCTTGTCGTAGCGATCTTGCACTTCCCACCCAAGCGATATGTTACAGTCTTCATGCCCTGCGTCCCCAAGGTTAGTCTCTCCGATGTGTCCATAGAAAATGTTTAGAATTGCAATGTGTGGCAAGTCGCCAAGGACTTCGTGGGCCAAATCCGCTGACGGATCAGAAGAGTCACCTTGTCAACGAATTATTACGTTTGTCTTCCTTGATTTCCTTGACACAAGAGAGACACAAGATGGAATTGATCCCAGACACTCTCGTGATCTTCCTGCAGCAGATGCGGAGGCGAAGAACCCCAAACAATGTTCTCTAGGTTTTCTGAAAAATAGAAAGTTCGGAGGCCTCATGGACCGAACGAATGCCAAGCAGTCGGTCTTCTCCAGTCTGGTCGTCTGGTCTCACACCGATCGATGTCGGACTCGACCCTCGGACCGAAGGACACCGAGGTGAAGGGCCGCCCAAACCGTCCGGACCGAGGCGAGTGGCGCAGGCGGCGCACTCTTCTCGTCCCGCACGGACGGGGACGGTCGCCTGATCATGATCCGGGCGTTGTTGCTCGCTCGAAGAAGTTGCGCCTTGTGCACCTGACGTCGCGGTTGGGGAGAGGAACGGGCGGTCTGAGCGGATTGGGTGTCCCGACAAAAAGAACAACGAAGGCAAACCAAGACCAGCGCCACCAGTGGGTCTGGTGTTTCGCCGGGAACGTGTGACACGGACGCGACTCCGGCAAATATTAATGAATATTTTGTGTCAAAGAAAGATCAGAAGTATATGGGTCCTTGTGAACTAGAGGGAACACACACCTCCCCCGAAAAAAGGACGGCTCTTCCGATGCCAAAACGTGTCGGTTCTGAACCCTCCTTCCGGTGCTGTTCCCCTCTCTCCGCCGCCTCCGTGCGGATCAGCAAGGTGGCCTCGGATATCGGAGGGACGTACTCCGCTGACCGGGACCGGAGACGCTCCTTCGGCCCAGTGCATGGCTTGCCGCGAGTGGACCTAAAGGCGGCCGAAAACGGTCGGAAGGGTCCCGACGGTTCCGGTGGTGGTAGGGTTTTCTTCCAAGCTCGTTTGGTTCCAAGCTCCCGTTCTTGGGGCAGAAACTGGGAGAAATGTAGTCAGTAAATCTGAGCATCTTCAAGGTGATTACTTGATGTTTCTTGTTTCAAGGAGTACAAGGAGCACAAGGGTCTTTCTGGCGCGGACATTCGCACAGCCCTTCCAGTTTTGAAGCCACACCTTATGCACCGTCTTTCGGTGTCTGCGCTTGTTTTCCTCGTCGTCTTTCGGTGTCCTCCCAAGACTTCCGGACCTACGAAGCTCCTTTCCGGTCATTCTGCTCCGACGATCTACGAAACACGTCACAAAAAGGACCATGTGGTGCCACCACAATATATACAGTAACTATATATGTTTATGGGGCAACAACACCAAGTAGAGGGGCAGCACGTTTTTTTGTTTGCCGAGCAAAAAACGAACCTTGCTAGTCAGACCGCATGTTGCTTGACAGTTGTGAGAGAAGAGTGCCAAAACGACTGTTTCTCAAGTACCTGGATCACCGGCCCGGACCCATCTCTCCTCATCCTCCTTCTACAAAACTCCCACGCTTCACTCAGCTCAGGCCTGCCGGCCTCTATGGGTAAACCAAGGCGCTTCCGTGAACGCGCTTCCGTGATGAACGTTGAACGCTTATATCACCCTGCAGCACCTGATGTGTCAACCCAAGTCATCCCAGACAAAGGAAGCAAAAGGAGATGGCATTGCCACCTCCAACTGGCCGTCAAAAGATCACCCTCCCAAGAGCTTCTGAACCCGAGGCACTACACTCAACATCTCCGCGCGGCGCTCGCGGTTTTCCACACCTCGTCCAGTACGTCCGGGTCCCCTGACGCGTGGTTCTCGTAACCAGCCCGAGGCCAAGCCTGGCGCCCGCGGCTTGGGCGAAGCCCGATCTCGGATCTCAGTGTCCTCTTTCGGAACAATCATTTGTTTCTGGTTGTGGCCTGGGTGTCCAGGTCTCTCTATACATTGATTGGCTCAAAACGCGGGAGTTGCTCTTTGGGACTTCAAGCCTGAAGACCTTCTGGAACACACGAACAGCACATCTAAGAGTACCAAGTTAAGGCACCAGAACGTCGTTTCCGAATCAGATTGCAAACACCATTCCTCCAGCTCGGACCTACCGAATGGGTCGATACTCACCTATCAGGATTCTTGTCTCGGTTGTTTAGCTTGGACAAAGACCCCCGTCGAACACATGCGGATTCTAAACCGTGGCCCGTCTCTTGCAGCGTTCTTAAAGAATCCGAACACGACCAAACCACACCCACCGCGGCGTACACGGCGGCCACCGTTCTCGGGGGCCCCGACCATACACGTCGTTGGCCGGAATGGTGTGCTCCACCGCGTCCTGCCCAGTTCTTTCCGAACCGCCCGGTCGCCCGGTTTGTTGTAGCCCGGCCAAGTCTACGGGTGGCCGCAAGTCTGGTGAGAAGGAGCCCACGGCCCGTGGCTCGTGGATCAAACGATCCAAACTTTTGGTGCCGGAAGATCTAACAGAGCTTATATAAGTGACCTGAAGTTCAGGACCCGTCACCCCGGGACCCACCTCTTCAGTCAAACCTAGGGTAACTCGGCTTCTGAAACACCTCGGTCATACCGGGCGTCTCGGCCCTTGTCTCTGCGCTCGTTTCGGATCGAAATCGATCAGTCCTCTGGACTGGGTGTCTCGGCATTTCGAGCGAGATGGACGATCACCTGGACCGGGGGAGTTCCAAAGAGTTCCGTGGCCCGGTGGGGAGAGAGGTGGCGGTGGGACTGGTCGCCGGTGGACTTGGTCGTTTGGACGGTGGTTCAATGTTTTTGGGCGGTTTCAAGTGGAGAAAAGCTGAGGTGATTCGCGAGTGAATGAGGATTTGAATCGAATCTCATGTCAGCAGTTGTTCTTCCAGGTAACGGTTCTTTGTCCAGCAGCGACCTTGTTTCCCTTCAAGTCGAGTGACGGAGCGTCACCTGTCCGTGTTTGAGGCCGTGTGGCCGGTGTGAGTGCCTTCTTTTAAAGCCAAGGCTACAGGAGAAGTCCCTGGTGCTGAGGATTTCGCTGGCTGATTCGTTTGGTTGTCAATGTGCACCTCAGACAAGCAAAGCGCTGGCGATAGTGAGTGGTTGGGTGTAAGTCTCAAAGTTTGGGTACATTGGGTTTCCCCTTCTTTTTCAGAAAAGTTCTGAGGGTTATTCTTTCACCACATCCGTGCAGTAAACAACCTGGGTTGTTAACATCATGTTTTCGGTCGGTGTCTGTGAATTCCATTGGGTTTTTCGAGTGATCAGATAGGCAAGTGCATGCTGGGCCTAGAGCACTGGTGTCTCACTGGTGTTTCACTGGTTGACCGGTGAGGCCTCACTGGTTGACCGGTGAGTGCCTCTTTTTTGCGCTTGCAGTGCACAACCCTGAGCCCGGCATCCTCCCTGCTCAGCATGCCCCGCCCAGGGTTCGCCAGGGCTCACGCCAGGGTCATCCAAGGGCTCACGCCGGCCAGGCCATCCTCGCCCATGGGAGAGGAGGGCACAGGTGCTCGGAAGACCCAAAGGTGTTGAGAAAGGTGCCCACTCCTCCCCAAGATGCTCTAAAATCCTCCAAGGGCAGTATCAACAAGAAGTAAACACACAGTCCTTCCATGTCGTTTGACGATCTCAAGCTGAAAGGTTCGAGACTCATGGGATTTGAATCAGTTAGATCAAAAGGTGGTACACATGTTGTTTTGACCACAAGTCTCAATTCACAAAATGACAAGCTCTTGTAGAACCTTGTAGAACAAGTCTCCGATGGGATTGCCTGCGCACCAACACGGGACAACTCTGCCACTGTGGCATCTATGTAACTGCATGACGTTCAAAATGATTTCCGCATTTGACCAACGCAAACAATGACGAGTCCGAAGTCGACTGTACACCTGGTTGTCACACGGACGGCTACCCTCATTTTGCAGGACTTCAGGGGATGATTGCTAGCAACCCCTTGGACGGTCATGGCAAAAACTAGTATTTGCAACATATAGCTAGTTATCTTGATCTGATAGATAACATGCAGATACGTTTATACGCAAGACCCCAACCTACCACCCTTTATTCATATATACACATTTCAAGACTCAAGCTCAAACGATTCGCGTTTGTTTTCGCTTCGTGTTGCTTGCAGCGTTTGGGTGCATGTTGGCATCGGTTACCCAGCAAACTGTTGCTGACACCTGCCCAATCTAACGGGCCTCTCGGTCGCTGGGTCTCCCGAAGCGGGTGTGTGGTTGATGTCGTACCTTCGACCTCAAGTTCACTGCACGTACGATCGAACGAAAACCACTAAGTGAAGAGAGGGCCAGGTAACATGCAACTCAAAACTCACCCCTTTTCATACCCAAAGCTGCAGCTCACGACCTAATCTACGATGTCCGGTCTGGCCCAATTCGGCAGCTTCTCTTTGCACCTCTCACATGCAGTCGTCTGCATGTTTTGTGGCAAATCCGCTGGCTCCATAATGGCCTTTGCCACCCTTCCTGCTGCGATCCAGGGCCATCCGCATGCCGTCACCCATTCATTCGGGTGATTCCTGAAGCAGTTGCCCATGGTGGAATGCAGCTTACCAGTCATCAAGTTCAAGACAATCTCAGGGTGGCTCCACTGGTTGAACATCTTCAAAATCGCTGAGCGGTCCAAGGGCACGTTGCACTTTTCGGCCAATTCTTCATATTCGGACTTCAACTGGTCGTATGCCAAGGCCATGTCGTTCGTCTTGGCTGACAAAGCAGCAATCTGATCCCTCATCTCCAGGTGGTTCAGCACTTGCAGATTTCCATCTGGCGACTCTTCATATGCTTCCTCGACATACGCCAGCACTGCCGATGATGAGTGCCTTGCAAAGAACTGAATTAGGGGGAGCGGAGTGTTCTTCCGAGCTAAGTCCTTCACTCCTGATCGCCTGAACGTGTGTCCAGACACCTCATTCGTGGCCAGCGCACTCGCTTCCGGAAGTGAATGGCTCAGTCGACGAGCATCATGTTTGAATGCCTCAATCATTGCAGCCTTCTCAACCACCAACATGGGATCCTCCTGTTGTCCAATCAACGGAGCGTCCATCACCTCTGCCGACGATGAAGTGGTCATCAAACGATGTCCTTGCCTCTGTACTAGATGAAGTGCCGTGCAGTACGGGCATGTCGACTTCTCTTCCGGACTCGACTTGCAGATGCATCCAAGGGTGCGACGTGCCCCACGACCTGATGGATCGTTCTTCGTCACCGGGAGGTTGAGGGTGACCTGGAGCAGACGGGGATTCAAGTCGACCTCCTTCATGTAGATGCACGCTAATTCCTGCTCACGCAGAATGAAGCGAGTGGCGAACACCCATACTTCGTACCGGTCCGCCGGCCATGCAGGGTTTCCAGCATCTCTCGGGCCTTTCTCGCGAAGGAAAGCCAGCCACTCCAAAGGCACTTCAGGAGCTCGAGGGGGTCCAATGGCCCTTGTCACAGCTCTTTTCGCGTCTCGCATGGCCATGTGAAGCACGTCCGACACTGGGTATAGCCCTTCCGTTTGTGCCATTGGAATGCCTCCGATCGAACCGGCGCCAAGATGGGCCCTCTATTGTTTCTCATGCCTCCCCGGCGCCTCTGACATGAACGAAGGAGCATGTCGCATGAAACAACTACGAACCTAGCCTGCCTGGATCCCGTTCGGCTGCTGTCATTTTCTCTTTTCCGCGACGTGTCCAGCGTGCGTGTCGTGACAGGGCCAAGCTCGAAACAACGAAGAAAGGGGAGGCACCTTCACCTGTTTTGCGTCTTTCAAACCTGTGGGGATCTGTGCACCCTCGCTCAATCTAGAAAGCGAATCTGCCTACAAGTTGAGGACGCCCCTCAAGCGCCGGCCCCAGACTGCATCGATCTCGAGCGACTCCAACTGCAGGGCGACCTCCCCTGCCAGCTGTGCCATCAGGGGGGACTTTCCCCGCAGTGTCATGACTGTATGTAAAGCTGACGTGCTGTCGCGATGGGCGAAACCTGAATGCATTGTTCTTTGAACAATTCGGAAAACAACTTGATTGAAATGAAAATGGCCAACAATTCAAATTCCGACTGATATGCAGGGTCATTCAAGCGTGCTTGTCCACCTAAGTCCTGACAGTCCTGCTCTGTTAAGACATGTCCAATGAAATGAGTGGGCTTTTCGCAAACGAACAGCACACTTCCAAGACGCGTGGGGGATGCATCTGTCTCAATCCGGATCACTGTGGGGTTTCGGTCCCAACGAAAGGTCCGAACGAGCGGCGGGGCAGCGGACGAACATGGAAGACACGATTTGACTTGCAACAGCTCTCTCAGCCACCGGATCGGATGGGACACCTGACGAACAAACGTCAGACCCTTCCTCCGACGTGTCTCCGCCCGCTTAGGTCCCGAGGCCATCCTTTCCTTTGACATGGCCACCGCTGCCCACAGTTGACTCGTCCATGGCCTGGCCAATGGAATGAGATGGGATACCCACGACAGGATCCCGCACAAATGCTCAAGTCGTTTTGTGGCCATCATACCCTTACAGGTTTCGACTTCATGGATGGCTTCGGTGACTTTGGCGGGGGGGCAACGAAATTTCCAGGCGCCTACCGTGTTCACCCACCAAGGTCAACCGAACTCCGATCCAATCGAGTGAGGGGCCCCTCTTGGCCTTGTGCCATGCAAGCTTGAAACCTAGGGCCTCCCAAACAATGTGGTTTGCAAGAACCAATATGCCATATGCACGATCACGTGCAATCCGGCCCTTTGCAACAATTATCGGATCATCTACATAGACTGAAGTCTCGCGGTTTGCGAGGGAAAACAGGCCCAACACGGGACCACATGCGAGCCCAAAGCAAATACATTTGGGGAGTATATACGTGCCATCGAGTGACTTGATGCACAACCACTTTCGTTCCCTGGGGTCAACCCGGAGTGTGTAAAAGGCGTTGGTGAAATCGACTACCATGAACTCGAGTGACTCTTCAGGGTGCATTTCGTTTAAAAGTTCACGTGTGGCTGCAGCAACATCTGACACTCTAGGTAAACAAATTCTTTCAAACAATGACATGCATCCGTTCACACCGGACCTTCTCACGTCGACGATCAACCTGGTTTTGATCTTCCCATCCCTTTCCTTCTCGATGCAAGCCAGCTGAGTCAATTTTGCTTCCGGTCCAACGAGGGATACCACTTCAGCCCAGGTGTTCGCTCTATCTGCACGGCCAGTGTCCACCATTCGGTCGAGCTCTAACTGAGCGCGCTCCCCAGCTTCGTAGAACGAGGCGTAGTTCTCCGCCTCTCCATTCCAATCCTCAAGGAGCACACCCAAGGCCTGAGAGGCCTTGATTGAAGCGGACACTTCATCTGTCGCTTCGTGTGCTCTATTGGCACACTCAGCCCAAGTGGCACCCCTTCGTCCAGCCATCTCGGCAGGACCTGAGCATCAGCGTCGCTGGCAGCATCCAGCATTGCTTGAAGTAGGGCGATCTTGTAGCCCTCTGCATTCTGGGCTTCATTGACCTCAAATTCTTCATGCAGCACTTGCACCGCTTTCTGTGTGAGTTCAGGAGACACTTTCATATCTTCTTCAAAGAGCCTCAAGTCGTGCTCTTCGATGCATAGTGCCAGCGCCTCCCGAACTCGGTGCCCCATCTTCCTCAAGGCCCTATTGCATGCCACTGCTTTGCGGGGGTCTCTCAACCCCCCCACAGCGGCAAGATTTTCCTCCTCTCTGATCTCGATCTTCGACTTGTTGTTGGCATCTCTCGATGCCTGCAAGCTGCTTGTCTCTTTCTTGGCCTCCTTGGTGCACTCCTTCTGGGCCGCCAGCTCTTCTCTCTTTCTCTTCATCATCTCCAACTTGTTCTTCATCAGGATCAGCTGGTTGCTCTTCGTGCGCACCATCGTTCTCGATGCCAGCCATTCGTATCCCCTCGGGCTCTCCAACCACGTCAGCAAAGCCTGGGCCCAGGCATTGCATAGGCCGAAGGGATACTCTGCTGCCCTCGAAGTCTTCCACACCCATTCCCCAGTCACGGGGTTCCACGTCCCAGACAGTCCGCCTGGGAGGTGGAAATGCGGTCTCACGTCCTCGCACCTCACCTTCACCTCTGCCATCCATGCGGCTGAGGTCACGATCTTTGTACTCTTTCTGGTGTGAGCTCCGTACGGGCACTGGTCCAGGTCCACGTTGCGCACGCCTGCTCTTTTCAAAATCTTCATCATCTTCGGCTGCTCCCAGGCGTACGATGTCAACGGGTTTTCCAGTAACCATGTCTTGCCAGCTTCTTCGATCAGGTAGATCAGGGCGATCACCCGTTCGAGGATTCGGTTTCCTTCCTCTGCTGTGGGGTGTCCCCATCCCTCTGGTCGGCTGTCTGATCTGATCACTGGCACTGAACCGTGCCCGTCTTGCCTCCGAGCCCTCGAGAAGCTCCTGCGTGGGAAGGCCATGTGAGTGTGATCTGCGTCCAAGACAGCACCCTTTGCTTTCTCGAAGCCCTCGTCTGTCAAGATGTCCCAGTCCTCCATCACGTCCAAAGGCTGTTGAACTTCCACGAGATTTCCGCAAAGTCTTTCGATCTCTCGCGAGAGTTCCAGGAACTTGAACTTTCTGGCGCTGTCTTCCTGCTCGAACTTCTTGTCCTCCGCCGACTTCTTGGGTGCATTGTCCGTCGGCTTCATCTCCACTCCAGCTTGCTCGGCCTGGGCGATCACAGTGTCGATGGCCGGGTCCTTCATCGTCTTCAGCTCTTTGGGTCAGTTCTTGTTCTTGGTCTTGCCCTTTCCCTTGCCCTTTGACTTTCCTGAGGTCTTCTCTGGGCATTGGGTGTTTGGGCGCTTCCCCAAGCACACCTGGCACGAGTGGACCCGTCCATCTTTGCATGGTTCCGGACAGTCTCCGGGCTTGCCCTTGGCATACCTGAAGCATAGTTCGTGGCCTTCTGAAGTGGTGATGTATTGCTTGCCCCACTTTTGCGGATGGTCTGAAGCACTTCCACTTCCTCCGCCAGCATGGGAAGGTGCTTCTTTCTTCGCCTTCTTCGGCCTCTTCTTTCGGCCAGGTCCATCCTCCTCCAAGCCCAAGGCATCCTTCGCAGGCGATGGAATGTTGACCTTCTCCGCCTTGCCCATGGTCATGTTGCGTCCTCCACGGGCTATGAACATAGTCGCTGGCCCTATCACATGTTCGTCCCAGAACTCCCGGTTGCGAGCTGCGTAGGTGAAGACACCAATCCAGGGTTGGTTCGGCTGAAAATCCAGCCCCATCGGAAGGCGATTGTCGGCTGCAGCCTTCGTGAGATGTCTTCTGTATCTTTCGAACATCTCTGATCGGCATTTGTCCTCGGCCTTCGTGATTAGGTGCCAAGTCTCTGGGAAGTCCTGGCTCAACTTGGAGATGCGATCGTAGTACTCCTCCAGGCAAGCGGATGTGACCACTCTCAAATGATCTGCTCCTGCAACTGCGGGGGGCTACCTCAGCATGAAAAGGATCGCCCTGAACACCTTCCAGCATGCTTTCCATGCATCGAAGGATGGCGGCCCTGGGATATCCAGGGCCTTGAGGGTGCCGTCCTGCTGGAGCAGCCACGATCTCGTTTTCAGCTGTTTCTGCATGGTCCTGCCGAAAGGAGTCAGTATGCTGAAATCTGCATATGGGCTTTCGCCCCAACGAACAATGCGGTCTCGAAGGGCAGCAATTTGCTCTGATGTAGGTTCTGAGTGTTCTGCTCCTGTGACTTCGATGTGCCACAGGTGTGCCTGGTCCAGTTCTCCTCGGGACATGAGGTCTATCTCGGAATCGTCCATCTGGTCCGTGACTTTCACTTTCTTCGTAGGTGAAGCTCCTGCAACGACCGGACCTCCTGGAGCGACCGCAGGAACTGGAGCTGGGTCTGCCAGTGGATCGATGTCCGCCATGACAAGGGATTGCCTGGACACCCTCCACATGTACGCGACGTGGATCATCTCCATCGCGTGCAACTCCCGTCGATTGGGGTCTGTGCCCACACGGATGGTCCTCAGGGTCTGCCTCCGCGTGGAGGCAGGCAGCCTTGCAAACAAAGTTGGCGTAGCCACCCCACCCAAGGCCTGGTCTACAGCATTCCACACCGCCTCGGTACAGTGGCAATGAGCCCGGATGCGAGCCATAGTGTCGAGCGAGGCCAGCGTGCGGCATCCGGCAGGCCATACCCTGCCATCGTCAAAGATGCCTAGTGCCACTCCCACTGCAACGCAGCAAAAGCAGAAGGGCCGATGCATGCGCTCAGCGGCCCCGCTCGATCGCGGCGCACCCACGGCGCCAGGCAAAGACCAACTCCAATCCCCCAACAAAAGGTCATCAGCAGGAGGATTTCAAGAACCATGGGGGCAAGGACCTAACCTCGCCCTGTGGGGTCACTTGAGAGGTCATACAACGTGAATCGATCAAGTGACATCGAAACCACCCTAGCGCGTTCACTCCCTGCTGTTTTCACTGCACAAACAAGTTTGTTTCACAAAAGCTACTTGAGGACTAGACTAGAAGATCTCCAAAAACTCTCCAGCTTCCCAGCATTTTCCACCTTCTTCCACCCCGTTCTGTCCCGCTTCCCACTCGCGCGCGCGCGCGCTGTTTTCCGTGGCGTCGGTCCTGCAGGGCTCGTCCAGCGCCGCTGCCCATGGGACGGACGGGGCAGTATCCGACTCGGCACGATCCGAAGATGTTCACCAAGTGAAGTAGGTTGACGACCACCATGACCGGTGGAACATCCAGACTCAATGGAAATCACATGACATGAAATACCGTCGAATCTCTACTGAAGCATCACTCTGTGATCGTGATCCTGTCCCAATCCTGGTGTCTGGTCAAACCTTTGTGCTGAGCCTTAAGCCACAAACTCGACACAAAAAAGATCAAAAAAGGCTACACTGCACGTCTTGATGTGACACGGTAATGGGTTGACATTTCGGAACCACTGAGAATGTCAAAGATCAAGTGGCTAGCGGGTCTGATGAACAAAGTTTGCCCAACGAATACTTCCGTGGCGGGTCTCCGGGTGGAGCCCACCACTGCCGACCGCCGTCCCTGTCGTCTGAAAGGTCCACCGTTGCCGTCCATTGCCTCTCGCCGTATCCGAATGCACGACCATCACTAGGTACTTATATACTATGCCGTTGCATGTGATGCGCACACGTGTCCCACAGGGATGTTGATTGGACCAAGCCCACAAATCATGATTCTCCCACAAGGGATGTCGCCGGTCGACCGTGCTTTGAGCACCCTTTGGGAGGACGCACAAGGCGCTTCCACCGATGTAGCAGTGCTCAGCCTGCTCCTGCCGCCCATCGCGGGAGCTGAACGGCAGGTTTCACGGATCCGTCACCGATCTACGATGGAAATCAATGGAGATGTCTTCACCTACGGTGCAGCAAGGGGGAATTAGATGGACAAGGGATTATCCTACAACATCCAGCCATCAATGTGGGAAGGTGGTAGAATGAATGGTATCTGGATTAAATCCATTATATATCCAGTGTTGCATCCAACTTGGCTTGACTGGCTTGACTCTGAAACCTCACCCCATTCGCTCTTCACAGAACTTCTCAAGTCTACTTGCTCTCCACCCTCGCCCGTCGCACGTGCGACGGGGTGTCCCGTCGTCCTTCTCCTTTGTGCCTCGACGGGGATCGTGCGAAGCCCGCGGCCTCCGACCGAAAGACCCAGCGCTGCAATGGCCCGAACGGTTTCGAAGCCACCAAGGGTGGTTTTGTTGGCCTGAACCTGAACCACAACGAACAACACCAGGGGTCAACCTGAAAAATGCTCGTAAGGACTTTTGAGGGCATCGATCCAAAAACTGGGACGTAAGCTGTTGATCTGCTGTGATGCCAACACAAATCCTTCAGCTCCTGCAAAAAATGCAGGACTTCCAAGCTCCCTCCCCTCCCCTCCCTCGTAGCAACATCGAAAACCATCTGCCCTGGCTCATGAAGCCGAATCAACAAAAGATACCATCGTTCAGCAATTCAATACATTCAAATACATTCAATTTAGTCACGCTCCCCCCCAGGAAAAAGAAAAAAGAAACACGCGCTCCCGTTCACAGCCCTTGGTCCCTCAAAACCTAGGGATTTGAGACCCCAGACCCCTCCATATGAGCGTCTGGGAAATAGAAAACACAGCCACGGTTCCTGATCCAGGACTTGCCCTATCGCAAGCTGGAAAACCAAGAATGGCAATCAAGAAAGGAGGTTGGATGAGAAAACCGACATGGGCCATGGCAAACCTCCAGGCAGAGCTCACTGATCCATGTCAACGCCTAGTGACGTTACTCTGGTGGTCACATAAAATAAGAGGTCTGTGAACTGACACTCCTAGCCCTCGGACATGTTTCACGTTTTCTTGGAGGCCTTGAGTTCTCTGGCTCCAACGGCAAACAGCGTGTCGCCTCGAGGTTGTTCCGCACGGCGCTGCCGAAGTTCCGGAGCCGCGAGGCATGCCCCTGGGAGCCGCCCGACTCAGAGAAGCAGACCTGGACGGTTCGAAGGAGGCGTCGGGGTCTCCACACGTAGCACCCGCCGGCGGGACCTGGCCACCCCAAGCCCGGCGGCCTTTTCGACCTCTGTGGCAAGCATGCGGAGGTTTTCATCGACATACCTTGCGGGTCACCCCGGAGACACACACATGTCGTATTTTGTGTCATGCAAACGTGCAATCACACAATTCCTGGTAGTCTTGGATATGTTGATCTGCATCGATCATCTCAAAGACATCAAAAAAATGCATACACTGCTGACTGCAATGGCATGCATTACCAGCATATCCAACAGCACTTATTCAACTGGCACAAGTTTTAACATCTTTGTATGCCCTCGAGAAAACAAAAACAAAAAAGGAGGCGAGAACATCTGCTTGCAAATGCCTCGGGGCAATCTCATCAGACTGGTCGCTCTCTACCAACCAAGAATCGTTTTTTCCACGTTTTCCAAGAAAGTTTGTAAGGATGCTTTCTTTGTTGCTGGGACGCGAAAAGAAAATGGAAAATGGTGGATGTCGCTGAGATTCCCATCTGCTTCGTCTTCGAATCTCATCTCCAAGTCGCTCAGAGAGGCCCGAATCTTTCACCGCACGCAAGGTGGTCAAGGCTGGCTGGAGGCCAGGCACCTGGCCAGCGGCGAATTTTCTCGCAGACTTGGGATGCTGAACATTCAGTCCCTGTTGTGACAAGAAAAGAAAGATTACGCTACAGGTCCAGTCCCTCATTTTGATGGAGGTTTAGCTTGGTCTTTGGACTGGCAGGGCTATCTTGTCCTAACCAACCACTTCGAGCTTTGATTTAGACTCTTGCCATCTTCCATGTCATCAGTTCGGTCGTCCAAATCACACCAGTCTCCGGAGGTCCCTCAGCTGAACCGCCTCTCGAAAGCCCAGAACTGCACGTTCATCGTAGAGCATTTCCTGTGCGTTCATGACGGTGATCTTCGCGTGTCCATGGAAGAAAAGAAGTGCATGAGATATGAATGCTTAAAACCCTGGGTTTGGGTCTATTCTATTCTCCTTCTTCCAGAGAGGGTCGAAGAGACCAACTAAACTTGGGACCCTTTTTCAGACGATGACGTGGAACCGGTGCCGGTTCTGCTGCCGGAAGGTCCGTTCGGCGGAACTGGGCTTTGTCGAGGTCTTGCTTCAAGCAACTTTGGCACAGCGCAGCATCTGATGTCATTGATGTTGCACTCCCGATAACTAACATAGAGGCTGACAATGGTAACCTGGAAGATTGTTTTCCTCTACCAATCAGTGGTTTTCAGGGTCCATGTTAGTTTTCGGGAGTGTATCTGCTCAGTTCAACACCCAACTGTCGGTCGAGATGTGCAAGGAGAAAGAGAAACCGAACCACGGCCTGGGCGGCAACCGGACCACCTCACCGACGAAACCTTGTTCAAGCCGCGTGCGCACCGTGCGAACACGTGTTCGGTATGTGCCACCGGTGCATTCGTTCTTTCGTGGGCCAAGAAGCATTTGTGATGGTCAATGCCTTCAACTTCTTCCGAAATGGAACGTCCTGGAAGGGGCCGCACTCGGCACTCGAGTCCGCCAGCCAACCGCGGGCTCCCCGGCGTACACGACTCATGGAGACCTGGAACTCCCACGACTGCCTTGTTGCTGGTCCACCGAGACCAACGGACTCGGTGTACGGTGACTCGGCCTAACCGGAGACGTGGCTGGGACCGGGATTGACCACAGGTCGGGTGACACAGACCTCACACCGGGAGGCGAAGCATTCTGAACCGGTGGAAACCCAAAACAACAGGACGAAGCAGTCACCATAGCGACGCGTGAACTTACGGCAATACCAAAAAGACAAAACAAGAACAACGACTATATATCAGCTCAAGAAAGAGAACTACATAGAACCCAGGAGTCAGGGGCCCAGAGCCCTATGGTGGTCGTCTCCCCCATGACCTTTGGCTCCGCCTGCAGGTGCAAGGGGGGAACCCACCAAGACTCCAACAAACATCCCAACAAAACCATCGAAAACCCTAATCAAGAGGATGCATGACTGCCGGCCTTGTCACGCATGGCTGCGACCAGAAGCCGGATGGCTTCTGATGCCTCCTGTGGTTTTTTCAGAAATGAGCTCACAAATCCTTGGTGGATGCAGTTGAGCATCCGAAAATCAACGGTCAACTCTTGAAAGCGGTAGTTCGCACACAACTGGGGTGCCTTTTTGGGCTGTCACACGAATATGCATGTTCATCTAGTTCATCCAACTACTCACTACTCGGACAGTGGCTTGCAAACACATTCGGTTTCGTGTTCAAAGCCGGAATTCCTTCTTTTTTGACTCCTGTTTTGCTGACCCATATCCTTTTTTGACCCCGCCCCCACCATTCTTTTTGATCCCCCACCCATTGTTTTGACCTTTTTTTGACCCCCTGAATTCTTGCTACTTTTTTGACATCCACTGTTTTTTGATACCCTCTTTTTGAAAACAATGTGGTGACACAAGGCATTCCTACAGCAGTGAGGCCTGGTGTTGATCGAGGTGCTCACCGGGTCGTTCGGCAAATTCGCTGCTTGTTACGGTGCATTCAACACATTCCTCGAAATCATCAAAGCGCAGAGCGAAAGGTGTTGGAACGGTTCCTCCTTTAAGGATTCATCCAGTGGCGGCCACCTTCCGTTGCAGGAGATTGGTCTTCCGTTCGACTGCAGCAGACTCTTCGATTCTCACCTTTTCGCTTCAAAGCCCCCGTGTCGGGTCTGTTTCTTCACCCACCTCCCGACCTCCCCATCCCTTTCGATCCCCTACGCCCCGACCACGCACGCCACCGGTCACGCACGTGCTGTCCGGGGCGCTCGGTGATCTGTGGAAAGTCCACCTTCGACCCAGGCAGCAAGGCCTTACGGACCAGGTCAGCAGCGGTGCCCGGCAGCGGCAGGAGTAGCGGCTGAGCACTCCAGAGCTGCACCCAGCCTGGGGAGTCGCCAAATGGTGATCAACGACATGGGAAATGGGCCATCTCAATTCAAAAAACCATTCTCATCCGCAAAAAAGGGCTGTTGTCCATGTCTGTGAGAAGTGGGAAAATGAATCTACCTCCAGGCGCACCAACTCCAACAATTGACACTCCCTGAAAACCTCACACCCGGGTCGACGGTTCGGCAGAGGGGTGCCAGTCCGACGGTTTCCCCTCAGTCGCACGCCCGGCCGTGGTGGTTTCAGGGTCCGCCCCGGAGCAAACACCGAGCGTGTTGGATCGGCGTTTGAAAGGAGCCACTGGTTCAAGCTCAGACGGGTTCGGCAGCTTTTAGAGCCGCTGAAAAGGAAGAAAGACCCAACTCTGATTGCAGCCAGATCCTCATTTTTCATCTGATCCCTCCCCCTTTGATGTGTCCCAATGGTATCTTGTGTGTGCTTGGAGTGTACTCCCTGACCCTTTCATATGACCCTTTGATGGAAAGCGACGCGTGCCTTTCATCGCCTCTTACGGATGGCCTGCAGCCAGGGCACTTTCGCTGCGCCAAAACTCCAAGTCGGAGGAATCCTGCAGCGTCTGAAAGAGCATTGAAAAAGTGCAGTTTGAAGGCAAGTTGTGCTGTTCTTTACAACCGCTTTGGAGTATCCTTCAAAGGTTTCACTCAGCCGCAAGGAAGCACACTGTGGTGGGCCATAGAAAGTCTCTCAGAAACAATAAGAGTTTAAACAATAATAAAGGGAGAGGGCAATCAATAACAAGTCAAAGGAAAGAAAGGCACCATGCTCCAGTTCGCAGGATTGTTGGGAGTGGAATTGCTAAGCAGGATATGAATGAAATAGTTTGGCCTCCACAAAGAACAATTCACTGAAAAACAAGTGGCGTGCCCAATTTTCTGCATATTATATAAGACTTTATCTTACACACATTCATGCGAATGATCTTTCTGTTGGCTCATGAGTCAGGCTGGACTTTATCTTGTCAAGCCAAGTGCTTCTGCCTTTTGTGTTTTTAGAAGCAACTTGTCAAGGTGGGCTTGGGTTCGCAGCAACCGATCGAAACGGTCCTCGGCCACTTCAGGCGGAAGTCGCACTCGTGGCTTTTCCATAGCGCAGACTTCCAAGCCGAAAGCTTTTGGCCTATAATTCTGCCCTCTTTGATATGTGCGAAGACAAAAACAAGAAAACACTTCTGTTTGCTTCAACCAGTTGAATTGCCATACACATTCATCACCAATTCCTTGCGAAATGATTGGTCACATTGTTGCTTGGAATGTGGTTGAAAGGCTGACTTCTCAGCAAGACATGGATGGCCTTTGAACTGTGGTTGGGAAGTGGGAACGCTCTCTAACAAGGCTGTATCACTAGTCTACAGTTTCCATGTCAGCTTTTGTTCAGGCGTGCTGCGTGGATGAATTTGCTGGGATTAAATCAAGAAAACAGCTCCATGGGCGTCATTTAGTCAGGCGTTGCAAACTCTGCCAATCAATCCAATTCCTGTCCGGCTTGCTGGATGTCAAAACGTCCCTACACCGTCACACTCAACGAAATTCGCTCCCAGACCCCCAGAAAAGGCAGCCCAGACCGTGCGTTTTCTTCTCCATTTTCACGGCAGCTGGGCGCCCGTTAAAGGGCGTTGTACCCCGCGTCCATGTCCTGGACGGACGGTCCGGACGGACGGTGGCCGCGGCGAAGCCGTGGCGAGAGACGACGACGAGACGCCGTCCTTGGCTCGTTTTTGCTTCTGCTGCGCATAGAGAAGTGTCATGGTGATCCCCAAGGAGCACAAGAAGCTGACCCCAGCCATGGCACCTGCGAGTCTCAAGGTGCGGAGAGTCCAGATGCTGATTGGAAGGAAAGCCAGAAACAAAAGAACATCAAGTTCATCACACAACGGTACGATATACATATATATATATATATACACCTGGTATACCTCCAGAGCTCACCATCCAAAAAGATCAAATGACCGATGGGGAAATCGAGAGCTTCACCTCTGAAGAGCAACCAGAAAAGGCACCCCAGTGCTAAATACCAGGAGTCACAAAGCAAAGGGGTGGTTTGAGTTCCATCCAGTAAGACCATGGGCACCCCCTTGGTGACTGGAACATGGACGTCGATGCCGGCTGGGCACGGCACTCAGGGTCAGTCGTTCTCCAGGAGCCCCACCTGTTGCCACAATGCTGATGGTGCCATCCGTGTTCTCCTGGACTGAAAAAGACATGGACCATCGAGACTCTCTCGACCGACTTGCCGTCATGGACCGTGTGGACGGCCCGGTGCTTGGCACGTGGTTGAGGCATACAGGATGGAAGGTTTCTTGCTGGGGAGCAGTGGAAAACGTGAGATCCTGCCTCACCTCTGACATCCCTTGGTCATTCTGATGTTCTTCGGATTTCTGGGGTAATTCAGCAACTGCTGAGACCAGTGGTCATGACAAGGCTGAAAAAGCATCGAAAGCAGTGAAACCACCAGCCTTGGCCACAGAACAAGTCCTGAATGCAGCACAGGTCAAAAGATGTCAAAATTTGTCGAAATGTCACTTCTCTCTTGCCAGTGTCCTTCCCTCTCTGCTTATTCTCTCTGAAACAGAGCTCACTCTACTTTTGCTCTCAGTCCTGCCCGAAAAGCCTGGCTGGCAATAACACACACCAGCGTCGCACAGTCCACGCCAATGACCTGGGACGCGACCGCCAAGTCATCTCCGGCCACGCATGGGCGCTAGTGTACTCTCTGATGCTGAAAGCGTGTTTGTGTCACCAATAAGACTTGCGTGGAGATGAGAGAAAACCCTCATTTGGAACAAGCATTGCTTTGCGTTGGGCTGGCTGGAAATGACATGAATGATGTGTGTCATGTGCCCCCCCTTTGGTGTTGATAAATCAATGCGATCGTTTGCAAGTATCAATTCCAACCCTCCCCCTGTAAACGAGAACTTCAGCACTCGCTTTCGTGATTAGTCTACATCCGAAGCCTTGCGAGCTGAGGACTTCCTTGCTAGACTAAATGCTACATGACCCGCCCGCACCCCTGCGCACCACCCGTGCTGGCAGCGCTGTTTGCGCCTGTTGGCGCATCCAGAGTTCACCCCGAACCTCGCAACCCCCCGGTGCTGGCAGCGCCCCCGACAATTGTCTTCGCAGTCAGGTGAAGCTTCCCCCTCATGCCCATCCTGTGCAGGTCGTCGTTCTCTCGATCGATCGAACAGTCGATCGGACGGGAACCGCGCGACGGGTTCCCGGCACGGCACGGCGCTCGTTGGATCGATGTGAAGAAAAGCAGCTTCTTTTGTGACTAGTAACACTAGTAGCGATCAAAAGGATGGTTCTTGTTACTAGTAACACTAGTAGTGTTACTAGTGTTGCTATAGTAGTGTTACTAGATTCACACTTGTGAATGGTTCTTCTTGCTAGTAGCGATGCACTTAGTTGCTAGGGGACGGTCATCCTGCGGTGGAAAGCTAGTTCCAAACAGCTTGTTCTCAATTGTTACAATCAAGCCCTCACAAAGGCCGCCCCTGCACACACAACCCTCGGACCCGTCCTCGTTCACGTGGATACCAAAGTCTGCTGGCGAGATGCTCTGCCCATTCTGCAGTCGCCTCAGCTGGTTGACAGTCTCGACTCAAAACTCCAAGTCAAGCAACTCAAGTGGCCAAACCTCCTGGTTTTTGACCCATGGCATGCCAGGCATGCCATTCATCACCCGGGTGTCCCATCCTCTGAAAGGGGGGAGGGGACACAGCACCATTCTAGCGAGCCAACGCTTGGAGCCACCGAAGGCCTCACTCCAAACGCTTGGACCCAAGTCACGGCTCTTTGGTCTCTTTCTCAGTGAAGGAGAGAAGGTGTTGCACCAAGCGCCGAGCAAAGAAGGGGCGCGAGGCCGTCAGATTACCTGACCCGCACCCGCTTTTTTCGTGAGAAGACGACACCCAGCGTTCTGCGGTGCGCTGAACCGGTGTTGAGGAGGTGTATGACTTCCCGAAAAGAGAATTGAATCATGGCTTGGTGGAGTGAACACCACCTGTGGATCCACGGGGGACAATGGTCATCCATTCGGGACCATGGCATCCACGTCATTGGCCCAGCCCATGAGCTTTTTCAGGGAGTGTGTTCAGGTGGCCACTCCGAGCATTCCAAAGCGTCTCTTTGAACAGGCAAGCCTTTCAAAGATTTCTAGAAACAGCCACAGGCCCGCAGGCAGCTACTCTTCGCAGCCATTGTCTGCTGGGTCAAACCTTGTTGATAGATGAACTGCCCCAAAAAAGCCTCCAATATAGTTCAACAGACCCAGAACTGTGGCGGCAATCTCTTCCTCTTCCTCTTCACTGTGAACAACACTGAAGCCCCCCTCTGCACCGCCTAACATCGGGCGTCAAAACCCCTCGTCGGCGGTCCCACACACTGGAGAGACCCCGACCAGCTGTTCGCGCCGCGCGGCTGTGGTTCGTGGCATCCGCAAAGCAGTCCAGCCCAGCCGCACCAGCCTGACACCTGGCGTCTCAGTCCGTGTGTCTGCGCGGGGTGGGTCTTGCGACCGACCCGCTGGTTTTCCAGCCTTGGAAGAAAAACCGGCGCTGGTGGTTGGCGCACTGAAAAGGAGCCCTCCAAAAGCCCCTGAAAGTCCAAAAAGGGCAGCCAAAACCGAAACGAAAGGGAATTCTACACATTCCAGCTTGAAACTGATGAATCGGTGAAAGCGAAGAAAAGAAGGTAAAGCATCTGCAGTCCATATTAAGTGAATTGATCTTGGCCAGACTTGGAAAGGGCTACAGTCCCTATGTTAGACCCAACTTGGGTTGAGTGACATCTCATCCCCCCTTTACAAGACTTCTGGATTGCTTGCTTCTGGCCGACTGCCACACGGACCATCTCTGTGTCGCTCTTTACAGGTAGAGAGATAGACTTCCAAGCTGAAAAACGCGCAACATGTTCATCCCTCCCTTCTGCCTGCAGGTGCCGCCAGCGAGGCATTCACCACGGCCGCTGCATGGAAGGGGGGCGCCAGGGCAGCGGGGTGGATCTTGGCACGTGTGACCACTCCAGCCGTTGCCTCGGACCCCCCCGGACATCCCACCGAGGCGTCTTTCTTCTCTGCAACAGGATGTAGGGTTGCTGCTGCACCCTGCAGCTTCGAAACGTGCAAACTCACTGAGTGGCTTGCTTATATAAACGTCTTTGAGCAACGACGGTCAACTTTACCAACCAGAAATACTGTCACAACAAGTCTGCACAAAGTCCCCAACAGCAGCGAAGCACGGCGAAGCGCTGTGAACTTCATGGATGAACGAAAGCACAGCGGAGAGTAAACATCCGGAAGCAAAAATTAAAATCAGTGGTCAAACAGGTGAAAATCACAAAAATGGTGGACGTATATAAATGTGATAGGGAGGCTCTGGAAACCACCCTGCCAACTTCTCTTCTCAGAACAAAATTTGAAGAGATAGTCTTATCATCAAACATCATATCCATCTTGAGTCTGAACCTATCCCCCTCTCTTGGCTCAAGGCCCATTCAGAGAATGAATTCGAGACAAAGGAAAAAGACTCCCAAACCGCGCGGTGGGTTTCAACCATCCCACCCTGCTCTGGAACCGCACTGCAAGCACATTGTCCATCTTGCCCACAAGATCCATGAAGGCCACAGTCCTCGCGTTCACCGCGACGCGAGGTCTGCGCCCCATCGCGTCAAACGTGCCGACAAAGGGGCGTCGCTGTCCCTTTTGGTTCGATCAGCTTGGGGAGAGAACCTCTCTTTGGCGCCCGAGTCCAAAACCCCGACCAGCTCGACCAAGCCACAAGCAACCAACCCACAAGCCACTCAAGCCATGGAAGACCCCTACCCAGCCGCGGCTCCAGATGGCACGTCAAGGGCTGTAGGCAATCATGGCCCGTGAAACCCGGCCTCAGTCGGCCATCAAAACGCCACCACGGATGACGAACAGAGATCGGTCGTCAGACAGATGAAGAGGAGGTCAATATGATGCTTTTTTCAGCAGAGAAACAACATGTGCTTCACTGGATCGTCATCTCATCATGCCTGCTGGCCAAATGATAAGTAGTTCCTACGGTTCTCAAGTTCTCAAAGTTCTCGACATCAGTTCAGCGTTTACAGCGACACTCCCCTCCGAGTGCCTACCCGACAAGTCGGATAAAGTCTTTTAGCTTTGGGCGGGCTTGGTGACGTTCTGGGAACAAATATTACAAAACCTTTCTAGGGATGGCTTGTGGATATTTCTGAATCATAACCACGTCCCAAAACGATCACACGGCATGTTTTTGTGATTTTCAAGTAGCCTCCATTTCTCCAATGTCGGGAAAAAAAAAAAAAACACGCCCCACCCAACATCGATGTTCACTGTCTCCCACCGACTGAGATCTGCCACGTGGTGCATTGGCAGTAGAGCCCATCCACACAAGTTCCGTGCCCCGCGCACCTCGGTGCGAGGTAACCCCCATTCGACCGCCGTCGGGGTCAACACTCGACGCTTCGTACCCAATTTCTGGAGCAAATCAGCAGCTATCCCGGCCAATCCACCTGATGCGACTTGGAAACGACTGTGAAGCAATTTTGCCATCTACTTGAGGAATCTTGACTGTCTAGCTGAGTGTCACAAGGATCGTGACCATTGTTCAGCTCACCTTCCTGCTTCTGAAAACACACACCCATGCTGCGTTGCATCTAGCAGAACTGTGAGGGCCCCAGGTGGTTGTCTCAACACAGAAATGCCCAGTGACAGATTCGTGGCAGTCTTCGGCCCGCAAGACTGATGGTGCATTGCTACTGGCTAGGAACTACTGTTCGTGGGTATAGTAATGCCCAGTCAAGTGGGCATTACTACGCCAATGGGAACGACGTTCGGAACCGTGGAGACACGGGGATTCCACACCATGGATCCACGAGCTCATACTCATCGTCGCCAATGAAGAAAGACTGGAGTGTTCTCTTTGGTGAAGTCTATCTTCTCCATGTTGAACGTAAAATCGGTTCAGGCACAAGCAAAGGAAGCACAGACCATGTCTTGGCTCGGGTGCTTTTCTCCCAAACTTCGCAGCACACAAGATTGGTTTAGCCGCTCATCCAAAAGCTTCTGTGCAGAAGCCACAGAAGCTTTTGATCCCTCCTCTTCCAGGAAGGCACGGGGACGACACAGTCCGTAAAGGTTTCTTCTTAGACCGTCACTGACCGTCACACGTTGCTTTGGATCAGTTCTTCACCTCTGTCCAAACAGCCGACCCCGACTGACACAGAAACGCTGCGCATGTCCAGTGTGATTCTTTGCGGAACCACATGGAAGCTTCTCCAAGTCCCCTCCAAAATCACAACCATATGATTGCTATTTTGGGGGTAAGTGGACTTACTGGGCTTGTTTCATGAGTGCAGCCGAAAACCAGGTCCGTCTTTTCATCGAATTCTCCATCATTCATCGAACTCTCTCTGTGTATCCGAGACTTCAGAGCTTCCGACCTCCAGTGCCACCTATCATCGCCTATCTATGTCTCTACTCAAATAGGATTCAGGGGGCCTTCTTCAGTGTGGAGACACCCAAACGATTCATCCAAGACGAGTCCAAACAGCATCGAGTCCAGTCGACCAGTCCAAGGCCGTAGGTCACGACCGATCTTTTTCCGCCCCAGGTCAAGACCACATCCGAGGAGAGTGTGTGTGTGTGTGTGTGTGAGCCTTGGTTTAGCTTGACCAGACTTTATTGAGAAGCCTGCATTTTGCCACCTGGTTCAAGACTTCTATCTTGTTCTTGCTGGAATTGATGCTTGAAGACTGGAAATTCGATGACTGGTTTGAAATGCGCACCTGGGTTGCACAATCGTTGCTGTGAGAAAAGCAACATAGCTTCGGACCTGCAAGCTGCAAACCCGTGGAACTTCGAGGGTCTGTATTATCATTGCCGAGTCTGCACATAGTCATTAACTGTTCATGGCTTCTTCAGCGCCGCCGCACTCGTGACGGTCGAGGGCGGCGAAAACGACGTGTTCGCCGACTCGACTGAGGGGGGCACTGCTCGGGACAGGGCTCGAGGGTGTCCAGCACCGACACATCGTTGAAGCACTCTGAGGAGACCTCGGTAGCCGGACTGGCTCGAAGAGGCAGCCCCCCGGCATCCTCAGCCCCTGCCAAGTAAGTCTTTTGGCACTTTTGGGGATTAGAGTCCTGGTAGAGAGTGGAAGCATGCGGAAACTGGGATCCACTTAGGGAATGGTTTGCCATGCATACTCATCATCTGTTTCTCCACCGATACACCGCCTCCCAGTCCCAAAGAGTCTCGCTGAATGCATGTTTTACGTCCCACATCACGGATCACTGGCCTATTACTAATCTAACACTCCCAGAGCTAGCAGCCTGGGCAAACCACGCCTGGCAGCCACCGAACACGAACATGTGGCCACCCACGAAGGTAGCACTGTGTCCTGCATGCCAACATCAGCTAGATCTCCACATTGACATCCCTGCCTTCTTTTTGAATTCCCAAATCGATACCCAACCCAATCCCCTGAAAAATCAGAGAATTCAAAGCCTTTGCGACGTTCTTGTCCAACCTTTTTCAAGGAACCCTGCCATCGTTTGTGGCCCCGGGACCGGGTCGTGATGGGTCGTGTGACCGGACCGGACCGGAAGAAGGACACCGGCCTTCTCGTTCTCGCCAGGGCATAGGGGACGAAGACCTGCAAAAATCCACAAAGAAAAGGAGTAGAAGCTCCGTGTTGTTCCAATGATGCCCCAACCTTGGATGGAATAAAAAGGATCGGTGCTAACTACCATATACTGTAGCTATTGGTGTCTCCTTCTATCTCTTCGACGCAACGCAATTCGGATCGCAAACACGGTTGTGAGGTTGCCGCCTCTGCGTCCAGCGCAAGGCCATAGGATCAAAGCTCCAGACATCACTGAAGCAGACCTCGTCCAGCCCATGTTGCGCAAAAACGAAAAAAGAAGTCACACTGGGCTGCCCTCAGTGGCGATTAAAAAATCAACAGAATCAACCATGCAAACTGCAGAAACCATGGCTTTTGGCTCTGAGGCCAAGCCAGCAACCGAGCATCGAGCACTGCCACTGCAACCCCCAGCCACCACCAACTGGTGTCCGTGCCGCGCTGCACTGTGCGCCTGCAACCACTAGACTCTAGACACTGCAATCGAAGCATTGGAACACATATCGATTTCTCATGACTTCTCAAACCTCGACATCATGACACTGGTGTGTGTGTGTGTGTCACACCCTGCTTCTAAGGGTCACCGACAGGTTTCTTTTTCGCTGATTTCGTAGAGCCCTACCTAATTTTGATTCAATTGCACTATCCCTCAGCAGGGGGCCAGGACTCCCTGGTGCGCGTCCTGGCCAACGAAGACCAGCACCAGGGAGGTGCAAACGCACCTTTGTTTTTCGCCATAACTGTCCACTCACTGTCCCCACCCTTCACTTCGATCAAATAACAATCATGCAGTTGCAAACGCACCTGCTTTAGTTAAACTGTTGGTTGGTTGCTGTGGTCCCCTGGTTTGCTTCATGGTAGTTCATGTACCTGATTGTGTTCCACACTAACTTTCAAAGTTCGATATCTCGTTTCACCCTTGGATGTGATGCTAAGTAGAGCCTACTGGTGTCATGCGTTGTCTTGCAGTAACGGTCTAGTGGACTGTGAAACTAAGTATGGCCAAAGCTGTCTAATCCGTTGCTTCCTGGAGTAAAGGGTTAACGCAGGAAAGTGCTAATGCATCCGTTCTAATTGAATGCTCGTGCAATTGAGTTTTACATCTAAGTGTGTTTTCGTGGCGTCGTCCCACTGCGGTGTGCTGTGTGATCCCTAGGGGCGCATATTTCACTCGTTTGCCAGAAGGTCAAACTAACTGACGCAGTGCTGCCGGGTCCACGGAATCGAACCACTGATTTGCATCGACCCTTCAATATGCACAGTCTCTTAAAGTTTTTCAGACTGCTGCTTTCCTCTTTTGTTCGTTGCTAGAGGCTTGTTAGGTTGTAAGTGAAGCTTTAGTCAGGGGTGCGCCGGACATACTCGGCTTTCTGGCCTAGTGCCTTGCCCGCCAGGCCGCCAGGGTTTCCTTTCCTTTGTTAGGTCTTCCTCTCGAGGCTTGTTAGGTTACTTTTGAGGCTCGTTTAGTCGACCACCCCACACGGCCCCACACACTTATTGACACGCATACTGACTTGAATGCCGCTCGCCACACGGCAACCTAAGAAACCAGATTCCTGAGAGGAACATCGAAACCTTGGATCCTCAAGGTCCTCAGACGAAATTGAGGCCCGAAGCTCAAGTCAGATGCGACGATCACAGGTCGACCAAGATGACAGATGACGACGTACTCTCATGTCTACCAAGCTCGTTAGCACTTTGCAAAAGATAAGAGTGACAGCTTGTAAACACCACAACTAAACAGGTACGTGATCCCAGCGTCCCAGGATCATATCGGCCATGGAATGCAGCCCAACTGCATCCATGGGGTTGTCCCAGAACTTAAGCAAAACCAATCCGCGAGGATCCCTGTGACTCCAAGGGGTACACACACGCCTCCCCGAATGTGCAAATGCGTGCTCAGCACGACAAGAGTGAAGACATGAAAAGGGGACAAGCGCGACAAAGCTGTATGCGGTTGCGATGAAAGGGAACCAAGTGCACATGGACAACCGATGAAAACCCACCTCATTGTAAAGACCTGGGCGACCTGAAACCTGGGTTGAAGTAGGTTGCGCGCGGACATACTAAGGGACGGGCCGTGTGTGCACAAAAAAAGGAAAGAGATGAGATGACAGAACATGAAGGCAGGAAGACATGAAAGAAAAGAGGAAAACAGACGCGTGTGTGAAGGGGAAAGGATGAAAAGGGAACCAAATGGAGGGGACGAGAACCGATGAAGCCAAACCTCATTAAACATACCTAGGTAGACCTCGCCTCGTTTGAATGTGAACGCTGTGAGTGCACCTAAGAGTGTGACAGGTTCCAGTGAGCCTTGAACAAGCTTTGGTCGCTGCGACCACCTCGTGGCATGAAGCCTACTTTGGTCCGCTGCGGACACGTCCAGCATGCTCGAAAGCGGCCTCCTTGGAATTCAACAACTCGCCAGGTCTTGGCAAATAACTTTGGCTTAAGCCTCCTGCTGTCCGCTGCGGACATCCAGCGACAAACCCCCGTTCAACGGGTCCACAGGGGCCACTCGTCGGGGCTCTCACTGAGGAGAGACACACTTATTGACATGCGTGCTGAATTGAATGCCGCTTGCCACACGGCAACATAAGAAACCATATTCTTGAGAGGAACATCGAAACCTTGGATCGCGGAGGTCTTTAAACGAAATTGAGGCCCAAAGCTCAAGTCAGATGCAACGATCACGGGTCGACCAAGATGACGACGTACGCTCATGTCTGCCAAGCTCGTCAGCACTTTGCAAAAGATAAGAGTCTTGTAAACACCACAACTAAGCAGGTACGTGATCCCAGCGTCCCAGGATCATATCAGCCATGGAACGCGGCCCTCTTCATTGGACAACCAACTGCATCCATCGGGTTGTCCCCCTGCTATTCCAGAACTTGACCAAAACCTATCCGTGAGGCTCCAAGGGGTACACACACACCTTTCTCACCCTTTTTTCGTTTTTAGGTGTGGACTAAAGTGGTAATGCAGTAACTAGATCGGCTGTGAGCTGTCTAATCCGTTGCTTCCTGCAGTACAGGGCTAATGCAGGAAAGTGCCAATGCGTCGGTGATTCAGTGTCTGACTGAACGCTCGTGCAAATGAGCTTTAGATCCAAGTCCAAGCGTTTCACTTGGGAGACACACATCCAACCAATGGGCTTTTGCCCTTTGCAGTTTCATGCAGTCGACGACATGCAATGATCATCCTCAGCATAGCATAAGACGAGCGCACGTGCACACGACAAGCTCAGTGCGGAAGCAGCATGGAGCTTTCAAATTCAAGGCGGAGCGACGTCCCGATGAACTGCGTTGGCTTCAATCATTGATGGGCCTCCAGTCCATAGGCCCTAGACAACCCACATGCTGACCATGCCATTTCTCTATGGTCCAGTTTACAGTCAGAACTTCCTTCCAATGCAAGATTCATGCCATGCACCTTGGCTTTGGATAACCACTCTTCAAAATCGCTTTGGCTCCTGAGATCTGAAACGCTCTCCACTGCCACAAAATGGACAGCATTTACCAGCCGAGGTAAGTATATCGAGGCAGCGTGCCCTCTTTACACCCAAGTCCCTTCCGGCCAGCAGCACCGGACCACCGTGGACATGGTGGGCCCGCGCACGCACCAATCACATTCAACAGGCCTAGGGCCATCCGTAGGAGCCCCTCACTTGAAACAGCAAGGCTTGCCTCAAGAGGTCACATGGTTTGAGAACCGAGAGATTTAACGTATCACCATGGAATCATACTAAACCATGGTGGGAAATCCTAATTTGTGCAAGGCTTCAGCAAAGAGTTCGAAAAGCTTGGGTTCATCCCTGACATGCTAGGGTAAATGCAGACTCTAGTGATCTAGCGAGCCCAACTTCGCAATTGAAGCTGCGAAATCTGGCTTCGAACCAATCGACAACACTTGAAGCTCTCAATCGTCACATGTTGGCCACATTGGAAATGCTGATGCCATTCCGGGGAGCAATCAAAGTGGCTCGAGCCAGCTTTCCTCGTATTCACGACGCCATTGCGCGTGCAATCGATGATACCGTCGTCACCACCTGGGCAGCGCAGGCTTGAACATCAGACGCTCTTGCCCTTCATCAGATCCTCGTGCTCTCGAGGAAAGGACATCCTCCAAGAGCTCACGCGTGTTCACCGCCTTCAGGCCAGGCTCGGCACAGCTGAAACAGCACCCCGCAAGAGAGCTTGAAAGAAGTCTGTCTTTGTTGAGCGCCGGAGGAGCACTCTGAGAATGGCGCCAGGAGAAGCCCAGGTGTCAGCAAGGAAACAAAGAGCCGAAAAGAGCTTGAGCCAAAATGGCTGCGGAGAACTGGGAGGTCTCCCTATTTAATACACACCCATATGATCCCATATCATATGGATGAACACCACATCATGCAGGATTTGCTCCAATCTCCCAAAAGCATCCCAACACCGAACGTGTCTTCTCACACCTGTCGTGGGCTTGGGCCGGCTCCAGAAACAGCGACCTGCTTCCACGTCTGCTTGGAGATGTCGTACCTCCCGTAGAGTCGAAAATGGTCCAAGAGGCGATGAGTTTCTCCAACTCCAAGTGCCGCTACAGTACCGCTACCCCGACTGACGTCTTTTCTTTGGAAGTGATGTTATGAGGGGTCAAACAGGTTTGAGAGAAGCAAAGGAGTACAGGTTCCGCCAGTTTCAACTGCTCCTTTCCGGCGTTCCAGGCATGAACATCAACCCCGCGGTTCCCGCCGCACATGTGCAAGTCATTGGTCTCGGTTCCCGCCGCGGTGTAGCCACCGAAAAGAAGGAGCTGCCTCAGTCCGGTTTGACCAATGAAGAAGTAGGAAACCCCACGATAAACAGTATCTGAGTCTTCAAGAGCCACCAGCCACCTTGTCGGAGACCTGTTGGAGGGTGCCTATGTTTTTTAACCCAGACGCGACCATGGACCCTGCTAAGTAGGGGCCAGGGGTCCGGACCCGAACCAATCCCGGTTTTGAGGGACCGGTCGGCCTGTTTGGAGCATCTGGGTCATCGTTTTTTGCTTTGCGAAACACGAAACGTCACGAAGCTCTCTACTCCTTCGGTCCGACCTGGTCGAGGCCACAGGTCCGACATGCTGCAGCTCTCCAAAAAACAGGGCGACCGCGGCTACCCAGCCTTGGTGATCCTTCACCCATCCACAAAGGTGTCGGTTCTCAGGTGCTTTTCCGGATGTTCTCTGGGTTTGGGGGATGGATCTCCAGAGTAGTCACAGACGTGTCGATGCCAACGGTCCATCCTCCCCGAGCGGCTCGTCCAGGAGGGTGAGAGAATGACCTTCTCGAGGTTCGGGCACCTGAACAATCGCATGAAGCAGACATCGTCGACCACATGACTTGGCCGCGAAGCCTTGAGACTTGGAACTGGGGCTAAAAAAAAGCCGTGGTGGTGGTTTCGACCATTCCCCTCTACAACCAGTGGTTTGGGGGGTGAAAAAATGTGGTCCTCTTCAGGAGGGTATGGGTTCTTCATGGTGCCTGTGTGGTTCAATCGCTTCCAAATCCCCTGCATTCTCCACCCTTCAGTGTTCTTTTGCCAACGATCTCCCACATCCGATGTGCGCCCGCATCGCCCTCCACTGGGAATGGTGGATGTGTCCTCAACAATGGTGGATGCCCCCCAAAAGTGACTCACGTGACTCCTAAAGGATCAGGGAATTGATCCTAAGGCATCTCTTGTGTGGAGTCATTCAGAACTGATTCCCTACTAAGCAGCCAGGAAAAAAGAGCAGCAGCCATTGGGGTGTCTATCCTTTTGGGTGTCAAAACCCCCAGTTATGCCGTTGGCATTTTGCGTTGTTGAGTTCACATGAGCACAAGGGACAGGACCATCTCAACAGGGTCGATGCTTCACCAATTCCTCCGTTCGCTCAGCACTTTGCTCCGTTCGCTCACGCCAATTCTGGGGCATTGATTCAACTGCTTGTTATTTCTTTGTACACACTGCCAGCTGGTCGTTTGCTTGTATCTGCAGGTGAGAAAAACCAGATGTCCAGTGCTTTGCCAGTGCTCTTTGCCAGTGCTCTTTGCCAGTGCTCTGCTCGAGATTCTGCAGAGACCCGCATTTTCTGCGCACATGGAACTTGGGCCCCATTTTCTGCCCTTTCCAAGAAGGCGAGGCATCCTTAAGATGCTTGGGCCTTCCAAACGACACAGCGACCAGCTGGCAGAAGCAGCTGAAGTCTACAAATCCTAGAGGCCCAAAGAAGAGAGGCGCATCGTGATAGGAAGACTTCCCTCACTGCCATCGGTGGTCGCAATGGTTTGCCATGACTCCATGTAGGCGTCAAAGTCCAACTTCCTGCGAGCTTGACCGGACCGTTGAGTTTGCAGAAAAGGACCCGCTGGAGCGGACGAAGACTTGAAGACCATGGCGGTATCTATGTTCAGAAGCTACCAAGAGAGGTTTTTGGAGACCTCGGGACCCGAACTCGTGCTACACAGGGGATAGGCAAAGGGGCTACTCAACTCTTGCACGGCCTTGTGACCCCCACCTCCGAGCATCTCTCCCCCACCGGTCGGCTCCGTCCCGGTCTGCGTCCCGTCCGCTCTTCCGGGGCCGCGCCGCACGCGGCGGCTCCTGCTCCAATCCAGTAGCATGTCTTCCTCCATGTCCATCTCATTCAGTTCCCTGGCACCACTCGAAGAGACAAAAGCAATCGAAGAGATCCTTCGGTTTCCCGGTGCGCGCCCACGGCGGAACCGCCCACGGCCAACTTCCGCCAACGCCCAAAACCTCCAGGTTTTGGGGGTTTCACCACCACCATGGCCACACTTCCCTCCTTCCGCCGCCTTGGCGAGAACTCCTGTGGAGAAACGGTTTCATCCTCCAACTGGTAGTCCTCCACTGCCACCGATTGAAGAGCTAAGAGCTTTTCAGCGACCCTTATGTCTTTACGACCAAACAATGCCCCTAGGCCCTATGGTAGAGATCCATGCATGCCACCCCAGCATCCATGTTATTGTTCCAGTCATGTATGGAAAGAATGTCACATTCAACAGAAGACCTCTCTGCCCCGCATCACAAAGCGTGAAGAATTTGTCCATTTCACTAGAGAGTTTTTAAGTTGCATGCTTGCAGTTTCTGCCATTGACAAAAACCATGGAAACAGGTACAGTATTCTCAACTGTATCACGGGCATACAGTGACAATTTAGCATGCAGCTGGCGGAGTTGCCAACAATTCCTTGCAGAACAGGTGAATTGCGAGCTGCCTCTTGGACAAAATGAAAAGCCAGATTCGACGTCTTATGGCGACAAGTTTCCGTACAAATCTTGCAAGAACAAACAAGCAATTAGCGCACTCCTTTCTCCAAAAGCCCTCCTTCTCTACTCACCAAACCGTCTTTCAACGCCTGAAACACAGGTCGGGTTGGACCGACCGACGCACGGTCCGGCACAGGTCGCTCGGTCCGGGGGGTCCGAGTTTCTCTCCTCTTGGATATCTTCTTTGAAGCCATAGAGCTTCTGGAACCATTCGATCTTTCGTTGCCGGCGCTTCAGTTCTATCTCCTTCCGCCGAGGCGGGGGGTGTGGGCGTGGTCCGGGGCCGGGTCGGGTCGGGAACCATTCGGTGAAGCACCGGCGCGAGAGAGCTGAAACGATTCCAAAAGAAGAAGTACCCCCGGCATCTTGATGGCCTGAGAAATCTTACGGCCATCTACAACAGGCTGGGCACTAGAAACTGAGAGGAATTTCATACTCAGTCAGATTTTGGAGAAGGAACTCTTGATCACATGTTCCCTGGAAGTCCAAGTCTGTTTCAAAAAGAGTGGTCTTTACATAGGTGATCCGAAAAAAAAGGAATGCCCTTTGACTTTGGTGGTGTGGAAAAACCCTCATTAAACTTCCCACAGCTCTTAGCATCTTTAATCTGCTCAAAAGCACCGTGACGACGCGCTCCGGAGAGAGACCCATCCGCCCCGCCCCGGCACCTCTCCCGTCCGGTGCGGCGTCCGCCCGAGTGCTCCAACGTGTGTCCTGCCGTCGGCGGAGCTTGGAGTAGTGGAAGTTCTGCGCCCGGCGCCCCGTGAACTTCTCCACGTCCTGCCGGTGCGGATGCCCGCCGGGCGGAGGCCGGGAGCGGTGCACGGAGGTGGTCATTGGGCTGTTCGGGGCCAGCAGGATCTGGCTGACCTCATCTACTTGGCTGCAGTGCTCCTGAAATGGGGGGCATCTTAATGTGTGTCTATTTTTGGGATGTCCCCCCCTTCCAATTCGCACACCTGGAGAAGCCAGGAGATCACCCGGATGCATTCTGCAGCATGCTGAACAGAATGTCCAAGGCACCCCTTCAAGTCGATGACCTCAGAAAACTGGGTCATTGTAATATGACTTACAAATCAGGATCTTTAATTACCTTACGATGATCTTGAATTACTTGAGGGATTTCCAGGATTCCAGGGTTTTCATGACCCAGCCACTCAATGGGAAGCATGCTGACCTGGTTCCTATATGTACATGATTTCTTGAAACATGTGAAAACGGCAGATACAAACCACATTTCAGCTGTTACCATCAGCTTTAGTGGCATTTCCTTGGCAAAAGTCAGGGAATGAGACGCCCATTCAGGGCTATGGTTTGACTATATGGGCTCTGGTCGTGATGTCCGATCGTCTCGTTCCACTCGATCGAGACGAGCATCACCTCGTTCAACTGAATGGTCAGACTTGCAGGGTACCATTTCGAAGACTTTCTGGACCCCTCACCCCACTAGCACCTGCTCGTCACCCCACCAGCACCTGCTATCTCAAAGAGGGTTCACTCCATGCGAGCTCTAGTCCGATCCCCTTCTGGTCCACCCCCACCCAGCGCCCCGTCCGCTCGCCTTGTCGACCAGCCCCTCCGAGGCAAACCGCACCGCCAGCGGGCGCCAACCATTGTTTTCCACCCGGCGGTACCAACCAAGGTCCCCTGGGCAGCACCGAATGCCGAGCAGAACGGAGGCCGAGGTTCGGCTGGGCAGGACACAGGGAGCGTGAAAATGCCTGGTGTGGGGGGGGCTTGTTTGGCGTGCTAGAGCATTCATCACGCAGGCCACGTGTTGTCCGATCCCCCAAAAAAGGAATCCGAGGCCTTTTGGATGAAAAACCAAGCTGATGCAGAGGCACCTGGAAATCAGAAGAAAAAAAAAGAAAGGGTAGATGCCCACATGATCGACCTTCGATGTGGGTGCAGAATCCCACCCCCGCCTGGCAAAGCAAGACCTTGTTCTTGGCTCATGCGTTCCAGGTGATACTCTCGCGGAGCGAAGGAGCCCAGGTCCACCACGTTGCCATGGGTGTAGATCTTGTAGAAGATGCTTGGTGGGAATCTGGCCATCAGCAATCTCATAACAAAGAAATGCTGGTAAAAATACGATAGACCACCAATGCAAGGATTTTTGGATTCGATTTACTCTTTTTGGCCATGAAGGTGGGACCCACGCAGGTTCTTGAAACTGATGATCACACCCCCAGCCGATCCTCATGTGGCGACCCCACCACGCCTGTCAACTGCTGACCCTAGCACTCAGCACTTGCCCGGGTCCAGTGTGTGTTTGTTATTCACTTAACCATCGATCTCGACTCGGCACTGGCTTCCGCCGCGCCTGGGACCCCCAAGGCGGAAGCGCACGTGCACCTGCATGGCCGGATCCAGCAGCACCGCCTCCCGCGGCAGCACCGCGCGCAGCAGCAAGTAGGGATCCCCCGAGCGGCGGAACCTCAAAGCGGTCGGAGGTCGAACGGGGGTCGTTGGTCGGATGAGCCATGTTCAGTTGGGGCGATGTGTTCATGTCCCAATAGGTCATTGTCATGTCAATGAAAGCAAACATGAACCACATCGAGAACATGTCGACAATCAGGCTGAGAAGCATGGCGATCGTTTCCTGAAGCGTTTCAAAGACACCTCTGTCCTTGTAGCTTCTCCACTTGTGCTGAATCTTCCGAGCAGCCTGCGAAAAGCAATGCACCGAAGAAACAAGCACATATCGAGCCCGAGTTCGAAGGCAATGCTGCGTACTGGCCCAGAACCCAGGACCCGACGTACGACTCGATGCAAGTCATGGAGGGAGCAACCCTGCTCAGTGACTAGCTCTAATGACAAAGGTCCTGTTGTCACTATGCCGTTTTGGGGTGAGGTGGACATCTGAATTATCATACCAGAAGCAGAAGTCTTCATCTTCCCAATCTCCCCTGGCACGGGGCATCGGGGTAAGCTCCACGGGAACTCCTACGCACGCTCCTACGGACCTCAGCAAGCATCTTGGCATAGTGCACCAGCTGCTCCTGCTCCGTCCAGCTGCTTTGATCCAAACTCCTGACACGTTTGGATTGTGATTCCTAAGAACCACAAACCACCATAAATCCATGAGTGGCATGGCTTTGCAATTCCTGAAGTCCTTCCTTAGTTTGATGTTTCCAACACTTCCCCTTCGCCATTTTCTCAGCTCTACCAGCACTAACCAAATAAAAGAACACCGCTACAAGACTGGCCCCAAATTGACCATGTCCAACAAATGCATAATGCATAAGTGTTCCAAGACTCCTCCGTTCTGATCCCCCCTCTCGGCTCCCAACTCAATCCAACCCTCCCACCGACCCGAAACCAAAACCGTCCGTCTGCCGGTGCCTCGACCGGAGACGGTGCTCGTAGAGCTGCCACGCTTGTTGGATTTCGAAGGCCGCCACCTGCCCCACCGGAGCGGAAGGGAGCGGAGGTCACGACCGGAGCTCGTGGAGGTGAAGGACTGGAGGAACAGCTACGTTCGTAGCTTTCTTGTTGCTAAGTAGGAATGGCCTCCAACCTAGCTTCTAGCTAAAAAACATCCGGAATCCGCACCGACATGCGGAAGCGTTGCGTAATGATTTCATGCATGACATGCCAAGATCTACTGACTCCTGTGGAACGGCTGACTCCTGTGGAACGGCTGAAGCGGTTGATTTCTTTTTCACAGATGTATTCAGATAGGTCGTATGACCCGGCCTGATAGAGTTTTCGACCCATGTAGCTTTGCACCCGGCGAACTCTCCACACGTGGACTTTCGACCTTGGCACTACCCGCAAAATGAGTCCAGAATCCATACATGAGGATTCCGCAGCAAAAGAGAGGTCGAGGCCATACACTGATACTCCCCCATACCAAAAGCTGGAACGACGGGGGGCAACGCCCGTTGATGAAGGACATTTCGCCACTGGGAATCTGTTCTATTGGATCCACCGGGCATCCCCTTCTCTTCGCCAATGCGTCGCCATCGCCTTCGCCGCGCAGTCGCTCGCCCTTGTTGCCAAGAAACTGCCACCAACCTTGAATCAGGGCCAGGCAGAAGGACTCGAAGCTTTCATAAACTGGATAGTTTGCATCCTGCAAACTGGAAGGCCAGTTTGACTCTTGCTGGCGAAAGGAAAAGGTGTTGGTTGGTGACCTCAGAATTGGTTCTCAAATCGTCTTGCTTAGAAAACAACTGTCTGGGCCCCAACTTTACATTGCGTTCAACTCAGGCTATCTGGGGCTGCCTGGTGTGCCAAGTGTTGCACTAGCGGACTGATATGATTGTTCTCTCCTGAAAAAGAAAAGGTACAGTAACAAGTAATAGAAAAGTATGGAGCCGGTCTTGACTTGCTCAATCCTTTTTCTCCGGACAGATTCGTGGCTTGTGCCGTCTGATCGGATACTGCCGTCGGGTTTCAGGCAGCCCAAAACATGACCATGGTCTCCAGTGTGGTGACGGAATAGACAGGTTCAGCCATGGAACACTGGTGACATGAGGACCACATGGAACCCCCTGCCACCGTCGGGTTGGTCGATTCGGAAGACGGTCGAAACCACAGTGAATGTCTCAGGGTCCATGGTGGGGATCGTCGTCCGGTTACTGCGCGAGGGAAGGGTTCTCTTCTCTTCTGGTTACGGTTTACAAGCTCTCTCTTCTAGTGGTCTGGTTTCTCTAGTGTGGTCTTGATCTTGAGTTACGGAGTTTCGCTCTCTTGATCTACTTTTCCTTTGCCAAAGTGATTCCGTCAGACGGAAGAGGTCTTGATCTACTTTTCCTTGGCCGTTGAACTCCGACAACTCCGCCAACTCACGCCACGTCAAAAAGGGCTACGATATATGGGTCTTCTGATTTTTCATGGTCCTATCAATGTGGCAGAGCCGGGACTGCAAATAGAATGGACAACTTCTGAAACAGGGACCTAATTGAAGACACTAGTACAAACTAAGTAACTTCGTACCCTATTTTCCAATCCAACCACCCAAATCATCTTCACCCCCAGTGGCCCCCCCTTCTCCTGCGCTTGGTCGCGAGGCAGCACCATGCGACGCCTGCAAAAGACTGTCACGGTCCGACGTATCGCTGAGATGGTTGACAGTCCACCACTTGAAACTGTCCAAGATGCCAGGAACCCCACCAGGATCATGTCCTGATTTGGAGTTGGCCCCAAATATCATTGGATGACTAGGGGTCAAACCTACCCATCACCGACCCTTCCAAAGGTCATTCACCAAATGACCGTTTTAGGGTTCCAGGCTTTTTACTCCCGCCCGCCGCATCGCCCATCGCCTCAGGTGCTCGATGTGTCGCAGTCGCAGCGCCGCGTGCGCCACGTGCAGCTTGCGCGGCGCCGGGGTGACTGGAGGCGTGACTGGTAAGCCTGGCAGGTTGAGGGTGAAGTGCTTGGCAGGTTGTCCCAACATCTAAACACAGGGGTCTTCTGTGTCTAGGTGCTGGTGATCAAAGTCGAAGACTGACTGGTTTTCTCGGGCGACGATGCGGGTTCTGCGGGTTCCGCACCAAGTCCCGGAAGCAAGGAACGCGATGGATTCATTCCCAATTGGCAAACAACGGTTGGGCACAAAGGAGGGTTCAGAGGTGTACTACCCAGAGGTTCATCCTTTGTTGTGAAGCACTGGATCACAGTAATGCTGATAGTGTGGGAGAATGGAATTGCATTATTTGCATCATGTGTTGCATGAGCATCATTTGGAGTCGCGCGCCTTCTTCTTCTGCGCCAATGGCCGAGGGCTTTGTGCGCTGCAGCCAATTCGTTCGCCAGGCGCGTTGTAGCCGTCGGGCAGCCAAGTGCATAGCAATCACTGGTAACAGCCATGGCCTCAAAAGTGTGTGCTGAAATTGGGAGACCCCCCAATTCAACCCTCTGGAAGAAGGGAAATAGACTCATACACCAGTCTACTCAGCGGTTGGAGAACTCCTCATTAAAATACACCGGCCTGACCCAGACATGGCTGTCATCCCCCGAACTCCGACGGCACACCGGAGTAGATCTCTGGACCTCATCCACCGTCGGTCCCCGCTGGAGCCACGCGCCTTTGCACGAGTCGGCGATGCCAGCGCTGCGGCTTCGACGCCAAGAACTCTTCGAAGCGGCGGTCCATGGCGCGAGGGGCGTCTGAGGGGGCGGAGATCACTCCAGCTACGACCTTCTACCATGGTGCCATGAACCATGTCATGTTGGTTTCTTTCTTTCAGGTGGGCGGAGCTTGGAGCGAAAGGACGGATTTGCCATGCCCGACTCCTTCAAACATGCCAATGAGTACATGGACAAACAGGACCGTCGCAACTACATGTCCTATGATCCTATGCTTCAGGATCGGTGGATCGAATGTCCATGTTAGCCTGCCATCTTCTAACCTGAGAAATGTCCATGTCCTTCTGCGAACGTGGCACGTTTTGTTCGCCGGCGAACGTGGAAAAAACAACTGCTGCAGGTACTGCCTTGTGGCACCACTTCGCACGGTGCTTTTCTCACAGTGTTGATTGCCCCGTGTGTTGAAGCGAGAAACATCCAGGCAAAGGTTTGTCCCACCAAAATGTGCACCCCCTCTGGCACCTCTCCGACAGGCACCTGGAGCGCAAACAAGACAGCACAGCGGCCGTCCATCCCGAAGCAGGGCATCCAAATGCAAAGTCAACCACGTGGAGACACTCTCTGTATCCCAGTTGTTGGAAGAGTGCTTCTTTGTTACTATCATCTTCTGATTCCCACTGTGATAAAAAGCTGAACGAATTGTTGAAACAAATGGCAATCCTAGTGTAGACCAGCACACGCAAATCCAACTGTATATAGAACATGGCCCACGCATTCTCAAAGCACTGGCGAGGAATGCCAGGCCAGAACAAAGTCTAAAAGCCACACTCTAAACCAGACCAACATCTCATGCCACCTCGCGCTACAGCGGCTACAGTCGACTGAACCACCTGAGCCTCCTTTGGACCCAAAACAAAAACCGGAGGTCCTCGGCGGCGCACTCGGCTCCCCAGCGGGTCTCGACCAGGCCAGCGCCGCCGTTTCAAGCACATCGGGCGCATCCTGGCGGCGACCGGAGCACCAGGGCCGTGTGTGTGTGTGTGCCCCTTGTAGTCACAGGGATTCTTTTGAATTGTTTTAATCAGCAGGGGGTGCAAGCAGCCCATCCAGTCTTGCACCAACGAAGACACTGGATGTGTGCTGGTGAAATCAATCCGGGACGCCGGCTTGACGTACCTGCTTGGAGAGAAACCTACTTAATGGACAAGCTGTTCCAGTTCTGTGTTTTGCAGTAAGCGGCTAATGCAGCGGTGATGAACTTGGCTTTTCTGCACGCACGTCGTCACCTTGTCGTTCGCTCGATCGGTGTTTTCTTTTGGAGTTGCTGGCCACCTGAAACCTTCGGGGCCTCCGCTGGATGGACCTCCACTTCCTTTTCTAGGTTTCCTTACCTGTACCCTTAGGAAATGGAACCCTAGGCCGGCGTGTGGCACCGCTATCAGTTCCGTATGCATATCCATAAGTGTGTGTGTGTGTGTGTGGGTGGGAGAGCTTTCTTTTTGGGGCGGAAGGGCTACAGGGCCCGTTGCTTGGAGTGAACTCACTGCTTGGCGCCTCACTTTTCGTTTTTGTTAGCCAACCTGGAGAGAGCACTCAGCTAGCTGGACACCGATGGACACCCCGTCAAAAGCCAGCTAGACCGACGACCGGCGCTAACTGCTGCCTACCTAACCCCCATCACCAGCTAGACCTCTTTTTCCGCCATCACCCGTGAGGAACTCCCATCGTTGACCTCACCCGTCACACGACTCTTGGAGGCTCCACCGGGCTGAAGGGCGGCGACAAAGTCCTGGGCGAGCCCAGTCATCCAAGTCATCCGAGTCGCGGTATGGGCAGCTGCGCATGTTTGGTCTGGTGACCTGGTGACCTCATCCCTCCAACAAATGAATGTCTGAGTAACTGTCCACCAAATGCTAAGTCACCCAGCTGCTTCCTCATCATGGCCTCCATCGGCCTCCGCCTCCGCCTCCGCCCTGTCCGACCACAGCAGAACCGACGAACCCACCGTCCCAGCCGACTCTGGCGCTCCCCGGGGCTCCCACGGACGGAGCACCCACAAGTCATTCAAGAAGTTGCCCTCGGCATCGTAGCCTCCAAAGAGGAAGAGGCGTCCTGGAAAGGGTGGGCGCTCCAGTTCGACTCCAGTTCGACTTGTGTTTGGAAGTGCATGTCTTTCTGCGTTCTGCGCTTTTTCGCCGCCCACGTGCCGCAAAAAAGCGAAGCTTAAAAACTCTCCGCGCCCGGTTTCAGCACCGGCGAGGGAGATGAAGCCGAGGTCAAAAGAAGAAAAAAGACGTGGGTTCGGGTATTCAAGGGCCACCATGGTGAAGCTGGAGGCCACATGGAGCTGAGACCATCGCCCTTCTTGGTCCCGGTTTTTGGTGGATGAGGGATCAGAAACACGACGAGCTGGCGAAGCTGGATGTGAACGTCGTGGAAGTGCTGAGGGGAGAAATGTCGGATTTGGGGAGCAATTTGTATAGTGTTTGGAGATGATCCTGGATTTTGTTGTGAGGAGGTCTCGTCTGTCAAGTAAACTGAGGGGCTTGCAAATGTGCTACAAGGATAGGAATCGTTTTTGGGATTGGTATTGTTTCTTTTTGGGAAGATGAACACGCCACACTCTTCTAAAGACTTGGGCGCTGACCCTGCGCGCTTGGCTCATTTTGGCTCATCTAGGATCATTATGTTCTGAGCCGAAGGAAGGCTGAAGTGTCAGGTCTAGTCAATCAGGTCTTGTGGTTCTAGGTCTCAAAGCTCTTCAGCTTGATGTCCTTTTTGCTTAAGTTCCCATCTTCCACTCTTGGAGTGTAGACTCTCACTGCATCCGGACGCCTACACCAAACACCCTGGGTTGGTCCGCAGCTCCTCCTGTGGTGGCCACAGCTGCATGGCTCGTGCGGTTGGACAGCTTCAAGCCAGCTGCGACGAAGCAACGCTGGGCTGCGACGATAGGCGACGAAGCAGGGCTGGGAGATGTTCAGTTCCCGCAATCGGAATGAGAAGCAACCATTGCAGAGGCAATTGGTGTTATGTAAGTGTGTCCAGTTTCTATGCTTCTTGGCCAATTGATGCATACATCAATTCCGCCCGCAAGTGACTTGATCCGTGTCCAACTTGCGTGTGGATCGGAAAAAACCTCACCGGTCTTGGATGAACAAGTGGAAGCGGGGACATGGCAACTGAAGCATACCGTGGTACCCAGTTTCTTCCCTGGAAAACCTCTGAAGAAAAAAAAACGCATTTCCCAAACACACCACCGTCTCCTCGCGTCGCCCGGCTCGTTTTCGGCTTAAGCCGACCTGGCTGCTCCAGTTTCGTCCAACGCTTCCGCACCAAGTCTAAACGGTACACGTCTCCCAAGGTCGCCTGGCGTTGTTTAGGCGTCAGACATCTTTCGATAAACAGACAGGCGCGGGAGAGAAGCAGGAGAGTTCCAGGGGCGAGGAGACCAGAATTTTGGTGTTCTTCTGGGCCGAGACGCCAGCTCCAACTTCTTCAAGGTTAATCTTATTGCAGTTGGGTCAAGTCGACTTGAAATCTGGGACTTTTGGAGGATCAAAAGCCTTTTCAGCCCCGGCTCAACACAGCCTTCTCGTAACGAACCAACGCCCCAAAGGGAAACGTGTGAAAGCGCTCGCCAGTCGCGCACTTCGATCAGGGGCCCGAAGACGTCGGAGCGATCTGAAGTACTTTTCACTACTAAAAGTACTTTTCAAGGCATTTGTTTGCCTTCGAAAGCACCTTCAGTGCAATCTAGACTCCTCTGGCGATGGTGAAAACGAATCACGAATCACCTCAAGATGATGTGGGCGACTGCTGGGTTCCGTCAACAAGACATCAGTTCTTGTCCAAAATGACATCTTTCCCACAGCGAGTCGCAGGAAAAAGAGCCAAGGTGTGGGTTATGTTAGAATGAAAAAGGCCGCCGACTGGGCCAACATGTGCCTTGGGCCTGACATGTTCAACCCATTCCCTCAGCGGGCGGCCGAAAAGACCACACGCCTGACTGTTGGCTCCTCCGATCACGAAGATGTCACTTCCAACCTCCGTCGCAGCCGAGGAGAAAAAGCCGGCTTGGTTGAAACAGCAAGGGAAATCATGTTCATGACGAGCAGCTGCGCGAGCAGCTGCGGATTTTCATGGACGTCTGGCACATCGGACCCAGCTGGGATGTAGCTGTATGCCTCGATCAAGTTGCTGTCGGTGGGTTGCTGTAGGTTGAGAAAGCTTACAGTAAGTTTGCCCACATTCTCCAGGCTTGCGTTCTGAGCTTCCCAGGTAAGCCTGGCCTCACAGGGTTTGCGAGGTGTTGACCAGTTGTTGGTGTTCAGCAGTTGCAAGGAGGTGCCGGCAACTCAACTTTTGCTTGCAATGTTCACAGCAACAGCTGTGCCCCTCGCTGTGTGCTGTTTTGTTCAGCCTTTTTTGTGTGCCTTTTTGGCCTCGCACGGCCTCTGAGAAACAGGAAGAGTGAATCGAATCTAAACGCTTAGCGCAGGTCTCCTGCCGCAAACCGAGGAATGGAAATACAGGCCTTCCTTCCATGGATGGAGCCACACAAGCAAAACCAATTCGTTGGCATATTTCTACTTGTGCGATCCAGGGTGAAGCTTGGGATTGTTGGTTTTGACTCACCTGAATTGAGATCCATTGTTCTCCAAAAGAGGCAGGGCATACAATACCATGGCAAACCTCAACCTCTCAGAAAAATTGCCGTCAGTGACGAACATATAGACGACCAGACATTTCAAACCACCTCACCTCCTCTAAAGTGACTGACCAGAATCAAAAAACACCTCTTTCTGTTCCAACCAAACACCACCCCTGGAGGTCCCGTTCAACCCCTGTTCCTTTCTCCTTTGGGTCCGGCCCGTTTGAAACAGACGACGACGCCCTTCGTTTGGGTCTCATCACCCGTTCGGCCAGGAGGCCAAGGTGGCGGTATGACCACCCCGAGGAGCCGGAGGAGCGCCACTCACCAGCTCCTCGCCGTTATGCTTCAAGTGATATGGAGACGTTTCACGGCTCCGGGACTGGTTGGAGCGGGTAGGGACGGAAGGGCTGATATATCCGCGGGGTTTGGAAAGGTATATATCATATATCATATATTATATATTATATATATATACTATATAGATATAGATAGATGCAAAGAAGATGAAAAGGAAGGACTGATACCTTGTTTTTCTACTTTTGTTTGTGGTTCCTGGCACATCTTTTCTACCTTTGACCTCATGAAAGCAATTCTTCCTTTCACTGGTCATGAAGAAGCAGGTCCTGGCTCCACTTCTGCGTGCCTCGTTCGAAACTTCTGCGACCCGTGGTGTCATCCCCATTCGGGTTCGTTCAAGCCAGGAACACACTAATCCCCGAATGATACCCCACCACCCTGAAATCGATACTCGGAAGGAGTTGAAAAATATCTGAGACATTCAAAAGCAACGAAGTTCCAGGACTAAGCAAGCCTGTGTCGAAGACGTGCACATCATTGAAGCAGCGAATCTCCTGAAACACAAAAGAACTGGCAGAAGACTCTTCATGAGAATTGACAGCATCCCTGTTCACATCATGCCGTGAAAATGTCATGTTGATGAAGGATCGAAAGGCAGGATGTGACCAATCGCTTGCGAAGTCTCTCACAAATCATTGGTTTTGAGGATGTGACCAATTGGTTTTACAAATCACTTCGGACTCGATTGTTTTTGGTTTTGAGGAAAGCGGCTTGCAGATCATTGCAGTCTTGTGCCACGAAACAGTGAAGCCTGCAGTCTTCATCCAGACCTGCCCCATCCAATCTGTTCAATTGACCTTTCTGGACTTGAACTCCTTCAGCTGGAGGTTCTTCCCACCATTTCGGAAGGCGGAGAGAACGGCTCCACTGCTGCTCGGCTCCACGCTCCTGGACGCATCCCCCAATGATGTAGATCTTGCGGCCAACCTGTCGTGCCAGATGTAGATCTGGTGGCACCAAGCAGGGAAAGGGAGATGGAACAAGATCTCATTTCTATGTGGAACAAACGAAGTCTGGATGTCCCATTGTATATTCCAAGTGGACATGGAATGTGTGGCACCTATGCCTGCCATGGCAGGTATGCAGGAAAAAGGTTGTTTTCCCTTTTCGTGGTGCATTCGATTCAACCCCAAACCAGCGTTATGTTTGCACGACTACCCGCTAACCTAACCGTGTGGCAAGCTCTGCTGTTCGCTTCGCAGAACCTACTGGGTCCACCGGTCTCGATTTGCGGGTCTGCTGAGCCCACCTCCACAGAAGCATGTCCTTGACGCTTCGATGGGGCACCTTGCACCTGCCACCAATGAACAGGATCTTGAGCAGACTGGCTTTAAGCCAGTCTAGTAACAGTTCCATGAACTCCACATTGAAAGAAAAACAACACCTCCAAAGTGCTCCACGACCATGTAGACCAAACTCCAGGCACCACCTTCCAACTTGAAGGACTTCTTGGCGCACCAAAGAGCTGGTTGGAGAAAAAGGAGGCACGTTCATCGGAATCCCCTTGTTTGGTGTTAGGGCGAAAAGGGGTGCATTGCATTTCAGCGCACCACAGCCAACAGTGTGAAGATCCTGCAGGTCATCGCATCACTGCCTCAGTGATAACAGTCACGACAGCCCAAGATTTGCATCAGCTTTGTTGAACTCAGGATTCACGAGAACGTATTCGTTTGCGTTTGCCGGTGGCGAATTTTTTGTGAGCTGTCAGGCCAGTGTGGATCTGAAAGTGAAATTAAGGAGACTGCGTCTTCATTGATTGGGCGGTCGAAGGAAGTGTGGCACAAGGCCAAACACGTTCCGCTGAGAGCAAAACACAGGAACAACATGCCCAATGAGTTCCCACCAAACTAAGCTGAGGCTGTGCAACAAACAACAAAAACATTAAACATCCTTCGCAAAGGAAAAACAATGGCATGTCGCAAATTGTTTGAAAGTCATCCTGATTGGCAAACAGGCGGCCGCCCATGAGCGCTATGCGCTATGTTCTCAACACGGCAGGAAAACAGCAAATGGAGAGAAACCAAAGTGGCAGCAAGCAAAAAAACTGCACATTCTTTGCTGGTAATGTGCAAAGGGCACTTGGCCGACGTCGATAAGAGTATATAACATAAAAACAGAAGGGGTATTCAGGTGGGTCCCCTGCCCAGCCTCTCCTCAGACCCTCTCGATGGGTCTGAATTTATTGTTTTTTGTTTTTTTGGCTTTAGCTGGTCTGCCCCAACCAATGGACAAGCCAAAAAAATGTTCAGACCTACTTCACCTGTCCAGCCTCTCCTCAAACCTTCTCCGTGGGTCTGAATATATATTTTCTCGTTTTTGGGTTCTGGTCTGCCCAAAGCAATGGACAAATACGCTCTTTTTCCTGATCTGACAAGAAGGCTGCAGTATGCACATGCATGCTTGATGATGTCAAATATGTTATACACCTAGGCTATGATCTACACTGAAAATGGTTCGCACTCCTTCTTGGCGATGTGAGACCCTAAAATGCCTCTTTGGGCTCACTTTGCCACCATAGTCCATTTTCTCTCATTCACTTCTTGTTTCTTTCTCTTTTGGATTTACTCATTGTTTCCAGGAACTGGGTTCCTAGAGATTGTTGGCACGTCGTGTGGTATATCTGGATGTTCTCTCATCCTGCGTGCACAATCCAACAATTCGCGATTCTTATCCATTCTTTTTCAACTACATCTGCTGCCTCTGGCAATCCTCTTCCTAGCAAGTTGCAGTGTCTTTTTGCTGTACTTCTGCTTCAAGTCGACCACACGTTTTTTGTTTAATCTTGCCTGATTGATGCTTCTCTGTTTCTTGGATTGAATCTTCTGTATAGTGGTCCTTCTGTTGGGTTTTCTTGCTTCATTCATAACTGCTTGCAACAGTACCTGTCCAAAAAAAGTCAAATAGTCCTGTTGTTCTCTGCATGTCTTCTAAACTCCTTCTGGCTGAGTAGTGTCTTGCATTCATTTCATTCAACATGTCATACACACTAAAAGTTTGTGTTTGGTATTTTTCTTTCTTTACAAAGCCTCCATTGAAAATCTATCCGCTGTGAATTTTCCTGCCGTAATTGCAAGAACATTGATTCTCTCTCCTGTTGAAAAGCTGGTAGACCGACCTGAGGACTCACGAAACACGACTGTACAGCTAAGATCCGCTTTGAGTGGATGCACCTTCCACTGCGAAAAGGTTCTTCCTGACTCTTCTTTGCACAGCCAAACTCTTGATTTGTTAGGTGATAAGATTGCCACTGCTTGGCCAGTGCAAAATTTGTGATGGACCTGCTGGATCCCTGCTTGCCAATTTGGGTTGAAACCAGATGTCTTCGATCATGTCAGAATTGGGCCTCGCGCCTCTTTGCTGTGGAACGGACCGAAAGTGGTCTTTTTCAGACAACGTGGGCCGGAACTCAGCTCTGACTCTTGCGCGAGGAAGAAGACCAAGACCACAAGGACTTGGGCAGTTTCTCTCACTCTTGAAACTCTTCAAGTCAACAACAACTCAAACTAACGCAGTGCACTCCCTCGCACACTTGAGCCAAAAGTAACAGTCGGGTGAATGACTGCACATATGCATACAAAACACAAAGAACTCTTTACAAAAACCTCTTAAACACAGGAAAACGCTACAAAACTTTTTAAAATCTTCAAGACTTTAACTACAATGTTCCGGTCACATTTGTTTCTTCAGAACACGGCCAAACAACACAAAACAAAAAACAAGCAAAGCAAAAAAATGGGGGTAGGATCCCCAGGTTGGCTCGGGTTGACAACTTCTGAAAACGGTGTATCTCCTGCATTGCTCTTTGCTCGGATTGCAATGTCCGTGTGTACTGTGCCTGCTTGCTCTTGTTCTTCTTTCTGCGTTTGCATTTCTTGGATTCCTCTCAGAACAGTACAGTCGAAGAAGGCTTTGCAGGCAATGTAGTGTGCTGATGGTGGGATAGCTAGCTCTTGCAAAGCGGCACAACCCATGAAGACTTTTGCATGTATGGTGTGGAGTGTATACGGGAGCATCATTCGCCGGAGAAAAACGCAGTTGGCAAAGTAAATTCTCTGATCTCTAGGATTGCGGTGTCAGATATGTCGACTAGAGTGAGAATCTTGCAGTTGTCAAAGGCATGAGCTCCTAGTCTGTGAAATTCTGGGAGTGACCCAAGGTCACTCAGTCCTGTTAAACAAAAGCACCCTTGTGGTGTCTCTCGACAGGTTTGGTGCGGATGCGCGGTTCGAGCACTGCTGGCAGTGGTAGGATGGACAGTTGGTTGCAGCCACGACACCCTTCAGGATCAACTTGCAGCAAACCTATCGCAACCTTGCACAAGTGGACCTGTCCTTGCCAGAGGGTCTCTTGGTGGGACTCGGCTACGCAGCAACAAACCCGCCGGACAGCCCTCTTAGCTTTCACCAAGCGCAGAGCGCGGCTGAGAGATCAGGTGTGGCAGGGTTACACCAATGGAGCATCATGCTCCCCACTAGTGCCCGGGTCTCACAGGAAGTCTATGAGCCACTCATAGGAATCCAGTATCCTATGTTGTGCAGTCGTAGGCAAAACAACTGGCAAATAGGCACTACTTCCATCAGAGCAAATCACCAAGTTGCAACTGGCCTCAGGTTTGTCACTTGGTGCCACTCCTCCCTAAATGAGGATGCCGTCACCAACCCGCCTGCTAATCAAACCATCCTAGCCTATAACCACCTGGAGAGCCAGCTGTCAAGGGCGTCATCAGGGAATGATGCAGCGCTAGTCCTCACAACCACGCGTACCAGGGCCACAGCACTACAAGGTCACTTCCATGACGAAGGAAAGCAGGCTAATGCAGAGACAGCGGTCAAGGTGGCGGGAGCAACTGCACGGCACTGCATAGCAATGCACGGACGCACGGCCTTCCTCAGTGGCCATGGTAGGAATGCTGACTTCGACTCGGAATGTTACACTCATACAGCCGTGCTACAGACCTCACGATACTGGCATGCCCAGTAAACATGTATGGCGTCCCTGGTGCATTGCAAGTGATTGCGACCCTCCTGCATGGCGCGCATACCATACACACTAACGACTCGCTTGAGTTGTATGCCACCAGTGCCCTAGAGCTAAGTGCAATTCAGGTCAGCGATGCCACAGCAGCTTTTCAGGCCGCGCTAATGCCGCATGAACTCTGGACTGGCCCGCTGCCAGTGTGTTTGGCAGAGCACCATGAAGGGAGGGTGAGACGCTTACGCCTCGTCCTTGCAACCAGGTCTCTCCTGCTCGACACAGAAGCCACATACATGCCGGACGGGCCCCACTTCCCTGGAATAACTTGAATAGTGGTCTCCTGTTTGGGTATGCCCTAGATGCTAGCCCGCACCCGGAGTGGATTGTCCTGCCGGACACAGAGTGTGGACCAGGGAGCACCACAGGCCAGTATCGTTGACATGCACCTTCAGGCTATGACACACTTTCTTGACAGCCTCAGTTTGTTCGGCTGCCTCCAAGGCATCAATCAAGGCAAACGCCTTGTCAGTCTTGGCTTCCCACTCTTTTGTCTTGGCCACGTTGCGCCACACGAGCAAGGGGTTCATCTGCTGGAAGACTTGGCACATTGAAGTTGACTGAGCAACCAGTTTGTCCAAATTCTTTGGAATGGCGGCTGAAATCTTTGGAGTGGTTCCACCTGCTTTCTCCTTCTCCAACTTGTCTGGGACCGTCTCCTTTGGTTCAGACTTGGCTTTAGGCTTTCTGGTCGATCTTTTGGCTTGAGGCTTTGGCTTCTCGGACTCCTGGTGGACGCCCTAATTGTCCTCTGAATCCGCATCTTCTTCTACTGCCTCAGGCTGCTCCTCTGGCTCGCTCTCTTCCTCCTCAGCAGCAGCAGCAGCAAAGGCTTCATGTGCTTCCTCCTGATTAGGGTTAAGAATCAATTCAGCAGCTTTTGAGTCTAAAAGCAAAATTCACAGAGCAAACTATGAATGTTTTGAATGGCCGGTCTAAGTCTAAGTCAAGAGTTGGTGGTGACATTAAAAGCAACAACATCTATCTAACATCTCCTGAGTCTGGGCATTGATGACCAACTTCTCTGCATCTTCTTTCTGCTGGGCATCCATCGAGCTGCCTGCTGCATGTTCAGATTCCCGAACCTTCTTGGCTGAAAGCCGATGCCCGATCAACACCCTCTTTTTGCCATCCATGATCACCACACCTTCAACGCCTCGTTCGTCCTGTCACAGGCAAACTCAAAATTATAGTTTAAGTTTAAGTTGAAAGCTGAAAGTGAGAGTAGACTGAGTGAACAGTGAAAGGCAAAAGAAGGGTTAAAGGGCCAGGCCGGCCATATTCTGAAACATCTAAAAACAAACCCCGGCAAACTCTGGACTGCACACAGGCTGATGATGACTCTGAATCGACTCCTATTTATGAAATGAATCGAATCAAAACCCAACACCCGCACAGTCCGCTTGGATCTTAAGGCCCTTCTTCTCCAAGTACGCTTTCTTCTGGGCAACTGAGCGCAGCTTGCGCTTCAGCATGCTGCTGGAAGTATTCCAAGAGGTCATGCCAAACACCTTCCTTCAGGCAGAAAGTCACAGAAAAAAACAGGCTGCTCTTGCCTAGTCGGTATGAGTCAGGGCGTTGAATAATATAATTTGTATATATTATATTCTTATACTATATATCCTAAATATTATTGTTTTGTCTTGTCGTTGATATGAGATATGATATAATTCTGATATTGACATAGATGTCATAGAGAGTGACATAGACATAGGACTCAGGGATTCAGGAAATTTACATAATTATATATAATATCAATATATATATATA